CTCAGACCTTCCATTCGCCCGCCTTCCTGCACTGCCGGAGAAGCTCCATGTCAAAGGACGGTCTCGCAGAGCCAAAACACCATGGCAGTGAAGTACGGATCGGGCCCGCGGCCGGCAGCCCATACTGCCAAACGTTGCTAACGGTCTCGCAGAGCCAAAACACCATGGCAGTGAAGTGCGGATCGGGCCCGCGGCCGGCAGCCCATACTGCCAAACGTTGCTTTCTGAACTGCCTATAGAAACTAGTCTCAGACCTTCCATTCGCCCGCCTTCCTGCACTGCCAGCAAAGCTCCGCTCAAAGGACGGTCTCGCAGAGCCAAAACACCATGGCAGTGAAGTACGGATCGGGCCCGCGGCCGGCAGCCCATACTGCCAAACGTTGCTTTCTGAACTGCCTAGAAACTAGTCTCAGACCTTCCTTTCGCCCGCTTTCCTGCACTGCCAGCAAAGCTCCGCTCAAAGGATGTTCTCGCAGAGCCAAAACACCATGGCAGTGAAGTGCGGATCGAGCCGCAGCCAGCAGCCCATTGTGCCAAACGTTGCTTTCTGAACTGCCTAGAAACTAGTCTCAGACCTTCCATTCGCCCGCCTTCCTGCACTGCCGGCAAAGCTCCGCTCAAAGGCCTGTCTCACAGAGCCAAAACACCATGGCAGGAAGTGCGGATCGGGCCCGCGGCCGGCAGCCCACACTGCCAAACGTTGCTTTGTGAACTGCCTAGAAACTAGTCTCAGGCCTTCCATTCGCCCGCCTTCCTGCACTGCCGGCGAAGCTCCATGCCAAAGGACTGTCTCGCAGAGCCAAAACACCATGGCAGCCCAAACGTTGCTTTCTGAACTGCCTATAAATTATACAGACCTTCCATTCGCCCGCCTTCCTGCACTGGCCAGTCTCGCAGAGCCAAAACACCATGGCAGTGAAGTACGGATCGGGCCCGCGGCCGGCAGCCCATACTGCCAAACGTTGCTTTCTGAACTGCCTAGAAACTAGTCTCAGACCTTCCATTCGCCCGCCTTCCTGCACTGCCAGCAAAGCTCCGCTCAAAGGACGGTGTCGCAGAGCCAAAACACCATGGCAGTGAAGTACGGATCGGGCCCGCAGCCAGTAGCCCATTCTGCCAAACGTTGCTTTCTGAACTGCCTAGAAACTAGTCTCAGACCTTCCATTCGCCCGCCTTCCTGCACTGCTAGCAGAGCTCCGCTCAAAGGCCGGTCTCGCAGACCCAAACCCCATGGCAGTGAAGTACGGATCGGGCCCGCGGCCGGCAGCCCATACTGCCAAACGTTGCTTTCTGAACTGCCTAGAAACTAGTCTCAGACCTTCCATTCGCCCGCCTTCCTGCACTGCCGGCAAAGCTCCGCTCAAAGGCCTGTCTCACAGAGCCAAAACACCATGGCAGGAAGTGCGGATCGGGCCCGCGGCCAGCAGCCCATACTCTCCGCCTGTCTGCCTGCCTGCCTGCCTGCCTGTCTGTCTGTCTGTCTGTCTTTCTGTCTGTCTCCGGAGCACTCTTCGCCGGCGCGCTCCCCCAGCTTCCGGCTGGGGTCGGCGGATATCAATATTACAATTCAATCTGTTCGGAACAGGCGCCGTTTTTCGAGGTCTAAAACGATGTAAACGTCTCGATGCATCGGCCGCTTGTTCGGAGCCTCGCTGACCGCTGAGCCTCGCAGGCAATGCGAAGAGCGTGGTCAGAGACGGTCGAGCGCCCAATGGTCAGAGCGTGGTCGGCCTCCTGGGGACATCCTGGGACCGGGGATGGCTTGGGATGGCTTGGGATGGGCGGATGGACCACATATGACCACATGACTTGGGGATTTCCGAAAAGTCATGGGGGATCCCCAGCTGATGATGGTTTATTTGATATTTATATATATTTTTTAGCTGAATCCCAAAAGCCTCCAGGGCTTCTGTCTATAGGAGCTGACGAGGGGGCACGTATACATATCCTAAGTGGCCGCGCATGCAAAACATATGTAAAACTCATATGAAACATAATTTTTACGTTGGTGGAACATATGTGATGCGTATGTGAAGCGTATGTGCAGCGCAAGTGAAAACATATGTGAGCCGTATGTGAAATATATGTGAAACATGCGAAATACATGTGACATATTAACTTATTTTGGGACTGGATTGCTTTGTGTTTATGTTTTACTTATGTATACGTTTGTGAATTTATGTGTTTTTTTATGTCGGAGTAAAAATAAGACCTTATTTTGTGCAAATCACGCAAAATAAGGCCTTATTTTGGAACGCACGTAAAGAGAACATAAACAAAACGCAAACGAGAACGCAAATACATTTTGTAACGTTTGTGTATGTACATGTGTATATGGTTTATGTTTTATTTATGTCGGGAAAAAAATAAGACCTTATTTTGGGCAAATAAGGCCTTATTTTATCGCTTACGTAAAAGAAACGCAAACGAAACATAAAGAAAACAACTAATAGCCGCAAATTCTGGATATGTCGGGAATATGCGTTTTGTTTGCGTATTTGAAGCCGTTTATGTATGCGTATGCGCAGGCCAGTCCAAGACGGGCTCTATTGTGAAAGCCTTTGAAACCCTGCTAATATATTTTTAATATTTTTTAAGATGGAACATCCTATGGATGATTTGCCCCTATTTCAGGAAACCTCCATTGAGATTTGATTGAAACTATGGATGTGTACAAAATATGGATCCGCAAAGATAGCAATGTTCAGTTGAATGACTTCAGGCCACAAGTTGGTTCCACCATGTTTCACCAAGCAATGTACCCTCTGGTTATGTCAAAATAGCTATTGAAAATGGCTATTTATAGTGGATTTTCCCATTAAAAATGGTGATTTTCCATAGTTATGTTAGTTTACCAGAGGGTACTTGGTTGCTTGTTGCAGCTCCAGTAGATTTTCTGATTAGGCTTGAGCAGAAGATTGGCCTGGCAACTTTCGATCGATCGTGACCGATGACCGGGCACACGGAGCACCCGGAAGTTCTATAAAAACTTTATGATATGATGTAATAATGATATAATAATTATATTATATAGTACATTATATACATTATAGTACATTATAGTACATTATAGTACATTATAGTACATTATAGTACATTATAGATCATTATAGTACGTTATATTATTATGTTATTGTATATTCTGTCAACGAACTCACTACACGGCAACCCTTGTGCGTCAGATCACGGACACTTTACTGCGGTTCTGCAAGACATAATAGGTTAAATATGGTTAAATAGGGAAGAGGCCAAAATTGCGGCGCAAGGTACTACTATACGGTTGACACGAAGCAGAACATGTTTTACTCTGCTATCTCTGCCGACTTAGAGGCTGCTTCCTGAAATTTCACAGCAGCCAGGCTGCTGTGATAGACTTCACTTGAGCAAACTTTGAAACTTCGACATCTGATGGAATTCAGGCTGCTCGCTTGAAGGAAGCAGGCTACGATAGTGTTAGGTGGGGACTGTCCCACGCTTCGCTCTGGCGTAGTTATTGTGTCAGACCCAGGGTGCAGATTTGCAACATCATCAATTTCTTTGACATTCAGACCAAGCCCAGAACTTAAAGACAACCTGGGCGGGATAATCAATGAAATGGTGAGTCTGAAAATCGGGTGCATGCATGTATCCAAGATTGTATCAAACATGGCAAGTTTGACAGAAACAAATGATGGTGAATGGGAACCAGTGATACCATCTACCCTCTGGTAATTTAACATAACTATGGAAAATCACCATTTTTCATGGGAAAATCCACTATAAATGGCAATTTTCAATAGCTATTTTGACATAACCAGAGGGTAAACCTGCATTTTCCTATGGTTTTCCTATGGTTTTCCTATGGTTTTTGGGGGGAAACCCCAATGATGGATACATCTGTTCTCCTCTGAGGCCCAGAGCAGCTCGCATCAACGCCGCTGTCATCCGTTTGTTGGAACGCAGTGGGCTTGGTCAGATAGTCAGCTATGTGCAACTTCCCCTGAAACATGGTATAATTTGTATACATTGTATACTGTATCATTTTTTTGGGGCATGCACACACGTATTAATACATATATATATATATATATGGAGATCATTATAGATCCAAGAATTCTTCTAAGATGATCTAATCTAAGCACATGCGCTCGATCTATGATCAGCGCACAGGGAGAGATGTCTGGGGGGCTCAGCTGCTCCTCAGTCGTGGCGTGGCCTGAGCCTTGGAAGATCTTGGAAGCCATGATTGTTTCAATCCTACCATGGTCTAATTTTTGGATGATTTGGGGGTACACCGATTTTATGACCCCTATATATATATAGAGATCTATTGAAGCTATTAAACATGGTGATCTTTTTCAGAGCAAAGCGTCAAATTGCCAGAGGCTAGTTTCAAAGAGTGATTTCTTTGATGACTTGATGACTGCTCAGAATATGAATATGAAAAGATGTCTTTTCACCCCAATTGCAGGCAAAGGCATTCAAGAAGCCATTGTCATCCTTGCAGACAGGCTTGGTCACCTGCGGCGAATGGCTTGGACAGAGAAGAGAAGATCAGTTTGTTGCTACTGTCTGGCAATACAGCTGTGGAAAATGGATGACAATTGCCAATTTACAGATGAATTATATAGCATTAATTTACCATGATTTACCTATCAAAAATGGTGATTTTCCATAGCTATGTTACATTCCCAGAGGGTAAGTTCGAAGTTGGCCAGGTAGTTGCATTTTCGACAACTCTTCGGAGCACGCACTTTATGGCCAGGCATGCCGCGATCACATCCCGTGCTGATAACGGAACTTCTGAATTGAAAAGCTGTGCATGACATCCTCGATTGTCCTTGAATGTCATATAAAGATGTATAAAGCATATAATCAACCACCCCCAAGGACTTACAAAAAATGGGTAGGATTGAACTCCAAAATTGGTAGTTGATTATTGGGCGTACCACATTACTGTAGAGGTGCTTTGGCTCAAAGCTGCAGAATGGCGACCTGTGTCCGTCAGTGCCAAGTGGCCCATGGATGGCCACGGCTTGGGCCACTTGAAGATCTTACTGCAGACACAGCCACTTGTCATGGAAAGCAGGGTGCATCACGCTGGGTTGGGGTTTTCAGCTGGCTATGAAAAGCTGGGTAGCCTGGTGCCATGGCATGCCATGGTGCCGTGGATCAAATCCCCCCAACGAGGCGAGGATTGCTGCAGAGACGGCCCAAACTGGTGACCTCGCTTCTCACAGATGTCTTTCGATCTGATGCAGGCAGGGCAGAGTTGAGATTACAGCAAGCTGTAGCATATTGTGAACCTAGTGGCGCGGTTTGGGCTTTTGAGGCATAGTTTGGCAGCAGCTAGTTCGATGATCGATGTCTGTTTGCCATCTGTTTCCACCAACATGTTGGGACTTCCAGGTATTGCTTTGCGTATGCTACGTGAGGGCAATGTTGAAGCGAATATCTTCCATCACAACGCAGCAATTAGCACCTGCTGCTTGGTGCGGTACAAGTTTCAACTCCTGCTGTGTAAACTTTCTGGCTGCCCAATTTGGAGATATATCACTCTTAATGGATATAATATATCTACAGGTCATGGTAATATAACTATAGCAAATGGATGTTAGTGGCATAGCTTGCAACTTGAGCCATCTCAAGTACCGACAGTGCCGAGCTTTGCCAGTGTGCGATGTGCGGCATTTAGATGCGCTCAGGCTTCATAGGCCACAAATGGCAAGATGCAAGCCAGATGCGTCTCGGCACAATGCCACTCCTGTGCAAATTTCTTGTCAGGAAAGGCAGGTTTGTTTGGACAGGTCCGAACATCATCATCGCTACTGTTGTCACAAGTCACGATCAAGCCATTAGCGCTTTCACCAACGCCAAGATCATTTTCTCAACACGCATCATCGTCAACATTGTCCATCATCACCAGCATGCTTCGCATATTGCTGTTATCATGTCATGTGCTTTGTGTTTTCCATCTTGACTTTGTGCTAAATTCAGCCACCAAGCCTTTCAGACCATCCAGGCTGGATACTTTGTTACAAACACCTGTGCAAGCCAACACTGTCACCTTCAACACCATGCAGACCGTGCTGGATGCATCTGGGCAATGGGCCATGGCCACACTACTGCTTGATTTGATGGGACTCAGCACAGTGAAACCTGACCCACAAAGCTTCAACATAGCCACTCAGTTGCATAGCTTTCAACATCTTTCAACCATTGTGAGAGAAGCGCATGGCAGCTTGCTTAATTAAACCATCTTAAACCAGTGGTTTTACATGGTAGTAGAATGTAGCGAATTACTGCCAGTAACATGTTTTCTCCAAACCGGGGCCAACATGCTGAAGGTCGTCTCTGCATTCTCACGGCAAGTGCTTTGGACTCGTGCTGCAGCTCTCCTTTATGAGACACGTGGCTTGGTTTTCCTGCAATCAAGCATGGCCCAGCATGGCTAGTTCGGAAATCCTCTAGCCATGGAGGTTTCTTTGGGAAAATAAACCATAAATGGAGGATTTACCCTCTGGTAATTTAACAGTTTGCTATTGAAAATTGCCATTTATAATCATTTATAGTTGATTTTCCCATGAAAAATGGTGATTTTCAGTAGCTATGTTAGTTTACCAGAGGATTTATCAACCATAAACCGTGGGGATCCAACCTCACCAGGTCAGCAGCACACGCCCCATGACACGGTCACGGTCAACAGCATGCTATCAGCTCTCGCGAGAGGAGGTCAGGTCACGGGGAGAAGCGGTGCCGTTCAAACACGGTAAAACCATCTGGAACTAGACATTGAAGGGATAAGTGTAATATATATATATATATATCATTTATTTATATCTATTCATTTATTTATTTATTTAAATTTAGATTTGGACACACACACACATATATATATATACATATGTATATATGTATGTATATCATGATGAATTTAGATGACTTCGCCATGGGTTCCGACATCCAACAAACATCAAACCTGGACATCATTAGAATCGGTTGTGCAGGACGGTGGCTTGCTGCAAGCCAGTTGGTTATGGAGCTTCCAAGAGCCCAAGTGCGGCTGGGAATTTTGGGCCTCGACCTCAGCATCGGCATAGCGCCAAGTAACTGCGATAACTGGCTTTCCATAGGTTTTTCCATAGGTTTTCCAAGTAACTGCCATTACATGCAGTTATAGGTTTTCCATAGGTGTTCCGATTTCCCATGTCTTCCCTTCATCCCTTCATCAATAACTGCAATAACTGAATCAATAGGTTTTCCATCTCCCATGTTGTTCCATGATTTTTGCATGGGTTTTCCCCATGGTTTTCGCTTCATCCCTTCATCAATAGGTCAGACAGCTGTTCTCAGCGCATTTGTGGCCTGGTGGGCTGCCATGCAAGAGCTGACGGAATCTGCAGCACGAGGCTTCGAATTTGCTTTGTGCCTTGCCTCTGGTACTCGCAGCTCGTGCCTTTTCGCAATTTTCTTCGCTGGGTTGTTTGAGATCTAAATGTGAGTCATGACTTGTCAAGATAATTCAAGATGCATTCCTTTGGATTTGGCGGTTTCAAGCCGGGCCAGGCAACTTTGATTTTGGCGATTTTGTTCTTCCAAGGACGGGTCTCAGCGCAGCAATCTCTGCCTGTGAGAAGGGAACTGCCTGGAGAAGAGCCATGAGCACGTTTCACACGACAGCCATTGCAGTACAACCTGATATCATTTGCATCAGCGCAGTCACCAGTGCACTGGAGAACTGTGTCAGCAACTTGCTTCCAGTTGGCAAGTCCTGGGGTCCCAAGGGCTGCATTGATCTTGGATATCTTGGGTGTTGAAACTCAAATATCAACCCCAACACTATTGTATATATACTATTGTATATTATATACAGTATACATTGTATTGACATGTATTGACAATTGACAATTGAGCGACATCTATCCACAGCTCCAGTTTTAAGACATTGGGCTAGCTGTTGCCTCAGCGCATCCATCCCTTCCGGAGATCCCCAGGGTGGCAAGAAGCCGTCTGGTCCTTGACCATCATGCACCAGAGTGGCCATGAAGTCGACAACGAGAGTTGCAGTGCAGGAATTGGTGCCTGTGAGAACGCCTGCCTTTGGGCGCGCAGTTTTGTACCTTGGTGAAATGAAGATGGTGAAGATGGTGAAGGGACCAGGTGATCCCATTCCTTATGCATTCCTTTTATCTATATCTTGTTCTCTTTTGCTCAAAATGACTACTGTAAAGTCCCAAGAACAGCCATTTGTTGGTAAAGCAATTTGATTTGTTAAAGTCAACCACTTTTGATCCCATAGTAATCCCATTCCGTTCGTCAAAGTTGGAGATTTGCCATTCCATTCGTCCCAGGTTTTGCTGCGACACTTGCTGACATCTTCTCTGCTCCCAACGATTGTCACGCTCAACACCGCTGTGCTAACCTGTGCGCAAGTGGCAAGATGGCAAACTGCCTTGGAGATCACGGGCGGGTTGATGCTCTTAGAAATGAATCGTTTTAATTCGTTTCATGTTTTACCATGGGAACCACATCATGGGGGAATTTAACATTAGGGGGTAGCATTAACATGCATTAACATGCCATGGGCCATGTTCATTGATGCTGTTTGACTGCACATTTCGGTACGTATGAATTCTAGTTTGCTATGCTGTCGAGAATGCTGAGATGTTCCCAGAGTAGTCTAGTGCAGCAGCAATCAGCTACTCATCTCATGTCCAAAGCCAAGGAAGCAAACCATGCTGTTGGCTGATCGAAATACGTTCAATGCAGTTCTTGCGTCCTTCAGCAGCTCTGGCCACTGGCTACATGCAGTCAGCCTGACAAATGAAATGATCACAGCATTTCACTTGCCAGATGAAGTGAGCTGTGATGCTGCTTTCGCTGCTTGTAAGCAAGCATCGCAAGCTTCCGCAGCTCTCGCATTTTTGCACAGCGTGCAGTGTGTAGGACTTTCCCTGCTGCGTACAGGAAGTAAAAAGACGACTGGCAGACGCCCTGGGAGACGTGTCTGAAAATAGGCCATACCCCAAAAATCACCAAATTTGTTATTCTTTATAGGGAAAACGATGATAAAGCATGATAAACCCACTGGATTTCAGAGTGTTCCCCTTCATTTTCAGCCATATTTGAAGCCTTCCAGGTGGCGCGGTACTTCATCTCCACCGGTGAGTCTCAAGCACAGCGTGGAGCGAAGTGACCGGGCGCTCCGGTTGGGCCGCGGCTTGTGGTGCCCCCTACAGCCCGGCCAAGCCGGCTGTTTGTCGGAGTTCAAATGGTGATTCTGCGGAGCGACCATGTGGATGATTGTGGGTGAATCCGGTGCAGATTGTGGAAATATGTGGAAATGATAATGCAATGCATTTAAGCGTTTTCTCCTTTTTTTAATGCCAAGACACAAGGATCACAAGGTTTCATCGAGGTTTGTGGACAAGTGATTTTCAATTCACAATCAACTCACGATGATTGTGGGAGTGAAGTCGCAGTGCCGGCATTCTGCTCAAGCAAATGCCCCACCGCGTTCACAGGGCGATCGAGCCGAAGCCTGAGATATGTCAGCGCACGTGAGCTGCTGTAAGCTTTGGGTACTTTGGGTATCTGTTGATATGAGTTGTGTAGTCTTATCATTTCTTATAGCCATTTCTAACCTCTTATATACTATAGTATATAGATTGTCTTATATGTCCTATATAGTTCCGTGTAAGAGATGGTAGGCCAAATTCCTTGGTGATGTCCTGTTTTTCAACTCTCTGAGGCCGTCAGGGGATGCTGCTATCGTCCAAGGCACGAAACGTTTCTCACGGGACACATGGCACCACGACACATGGCTGGCCTTCCCAGGTGCTGCGACATGGAGAAGTTCTGGGGCGAGGTCCGCCAGCGAAAGAAATGATGGAACAGCAATGAATGGCATTAGTAGGCTGCCTACTTACAGAAGATTGAGAAGAGTTGAGCACTTATTGAGTTGAGTTTAAATATATATCATAGGGATTCATAGTGATTTGTGCAGCATGATGCAACATGTCTAGTTAGCTTGATTAACAATGTTTTATATCAATCATTATTATAATATATTATAATAACTATATTTAATAACAGTATCACAGCATATGTGTTGTGTATATATATATATACATTGTATACATATAGTACGTAGAGAAATGAATAAGTAGATTTTCAGATAAGCACATTACATATGCACACAATCCGCAGCAGTATGTACATTTGTTGGGCTGCAACATGATAACATGATAGTAAGCGCAGGTTTTTGATCGCCGGACCTGGCAATACCTGGCAGGTGCCATTTTCAAGGCCAGCCTTTGGACTGCATCCAGGAGGTCAATTCGTTCGCAGAGTTGGCGGAGTGAGTCCGAAGGTGCAAACACCGCCAGGCTCTGAGATTCCATACGACTTCAATGGAGATGTCTTAGAATTACTTACTGGTGCTAAACGTAGGGAATTTCGGGAATGATCCACTGGCTAACTATCAATAATCATCCCAGCAACCCCCAGCAACCCATCCATTCCCTACGTAAAACGCACCAGTAAGATTAATGGGGTGTTCCCAAGGCATCATTGATGTCATGGGTTTCAATGCTCAGTTGTGGTCATGACTTGGATGGGTCTACCTCCATTTTATGAAAGACTCTATTGAAAAGTGGGGTGTCCTAAATCCTGAAATGGTGGAGCCCCCAGTTATCCTCCTTTTTGAATGTGGAAACAAATTGCGAACGGAAAGAATTAGCCCCATCTTAAGAAACGCTTATTAATTACAGTAGGCATAAAGACGACCGAGAAAGACACCATGGAGCATCGGCATTGCTCCCGTCTCTCATCCTTCACTGGGGTCAGGCTTTCACCACGCCCGCCGACCTTTTTTCCCCGCACAGTTTAAGTTCCATGGCTTGGTTGCAGCAAGACATTTGAGACGAAGATTCTCAGAAAAGGCTCAGCACCATAGAGGGAAGATGTCTAACATTTGAAGCAAAGAACCGCAAAGAACTGGAAGGCTTTGCCATCATGTTTGTAATTCGGTGAATTTTGATCCCGTCTCTTTGTGCAGCCATGCTTTCGGGGAATGTTTGGCAAGTGCTCTTGGACCTTGTTACCTGTTCCAGAGACCCGCAGAAAGGCCAGTGGTGCAGTTGCAAAGAGACCGAGGGCAAGTCCCGAGGCATTCTGGGCAATCTTCCATGGTCCATCCAGGAGAGCGATTCCAGCGATGAAGATGTGAGCAGCTTGGAATGGAAGCCCACCATCCTTTCTGCCGATGGATCCCGCTATACTGGCCAATGGAAAGGCAGTACTTGGCAGGGTGAAGGTCAGCTAGAGCTGGCGGATGGCAGCACCTATGAGGGATGTTTCAAAGATGGCAAACCTCACGGTGTTGGGTGCTTGAAAGGTCCTGATGGATGTGTTTATCAGGGCCAATGGCGCCAGGGAAGAGCACATGGAATGGGGAAGTACACCAAAGCTGCTGGTGCTGGCACCTATGAAGGTCAATGGCTGGAGGACAAACGCTCCGGCCTAGGCACTGAGCTATGGGCAGATGGATGCCTCTACCGTGGATCTTTTCAGAATGGTTGCAAGCACGGGCGAGGCTTCTACCAAACGCCCCAAGGTGCTTCCTACAACGGGAGCTTTCAAGCAGACCAAATGCATGGAGACGGGGTCTACAAGTTTCTGGTTGGTGTTTTGATCTTTTTTCTTTTCAAAAAACCAAATCAATCCAAATCAACCATAGACATGGGATGATGACCCCCAATGACTTTCCATTTTTTCCGGGGGTCAAAGATGTCAAAGCTCAACGGCCAGGTTTCCCGATGCTCGTGTCTATTCAGGATCCTTCAAATCTGGGCAGATGACTGGATATGGCCATATGTCTTGGCCTAGCGGAGCTGCCTATGAAGGTCAGTACCTCAATGGTGAGAAACATGGCCCAGGGGTCTACACCTGGCCAGATGGTCGTGTCTATGAAGGGCAATGGTCCCATGGACAGATGCATGGCAAGGGCGTACTTTATGCTACGGATGGTACAGCAGCTAGTGGCACTTGGTGTCATGGCAAGGGGCCTGAGTAAAAGCTTCCACAAGTGAGCTGATGGTCAGAGATTGTACATTAGCCGGTGGCCGTGCGCAGAACCGCCGCGGCCATCGCCAGATGCACATTGCGAAGCATGCCTTGGTTTTTGCAGGTGGATTCCTGCCTGTTCCCTTGGTAAAAAGAATCACGTTCTTTATTTACTGCTTTTGCATCCCGGAGTTCATGGAGTTCGACCTACACTAGTTGGAGCTGCTGTGTGGTACCTCGTTGTTGCAGTGAGTGTTGATGTTTGGGTTGTGCAAAGGCGTGGTCGCAGCGCGCGCTAGCAACATTGGCAGGCCAGCAGCACAGTTCCGAGTTGGACACCTAAGGGATGTTGTATCATTGTAGCAGTAAGATGTTGATGAATCTTGTTAATATTGTGGATACATGTATATAGATTGTGTGAAAACCAATGTGAAGTGAGATGATACTGCATAGTATATAATATGTAATATATACTATTAATATACTGTATGCAATTTTTACTTCAGTCCATCTGAGAGTCTGGTGAGAAGATTGCTCTTGGAAGATGACCCTCCACCAGGTTTGGGCTTAGGCTGCGCTTTGCTGGCGAACAAGGCTGCACTTTGCTCCCTTCAGGGAGTTTGTGTTGGATATTGGCACAGTCAGATCAGTCATGGAACTAGATTGCCTTTGTATGCCTTTGCCAGAACATTTATATACATGAATTTACTAATATGATTGAACGGATTTTTACTATTTAACCTCAAGTTCTTTAGGATATCTCAGCCTAAGCCACTACCCTCTGGTAAATTAACGTAACTATGGAAAATCACCATTTTTAATGGGTAAATCCACTATAATGGCCATTTTGGGAATTTTCCTGGGATTTAATGATGAGCCATGATGCACCAGTGGCAGGCATCACCTACGGCTCGAGCAGCTGAGCCTGGTGGGCTGCAGCCCTGGCACAGCGGGTTGGTGGGTCGGGAAAATCTTAACCGGAAACCATGGTTTTCCCAATCAAATAAATATAGTAGGGATTTCCAGTCAGTTTTGGCTTCAACCAATGCAAGGAACATGTCTTTATGTATGTTCAGGGTATGTGTCTCTTCAAATAAGATGTCTAGGACTAAGCGATCTCATTCACATGCATACAAACGTATGTTACATACCAAGTATATATGACATACACTATTTCTGATATTATATTAATTTTGTTGCGTCCCTCTGAAAAGGGGAAGCTTTGATCAAATATCAGGCGCAAAGTGTGCATTGTCGGCGAGGCGGGGAACCGTTTCCCCCAAAAAAGTGCCTGCCAATGCGGGCCTGCGGGCGTGTGCGCATGCATAGGTACATGATCATCATTATGACATACCAGTAGTACCGCGCAAGGCGGTGGCGGAAGTTTCAAAAATAGGAAACCTATAGGAGAGGTTGGTTGTTGTGACTCACGAATGGCAAAGCGAATCCACTGATGGACCGACAGGTGGTTGGAGTTGTGTTTTTTGGAGTGGTTGCAATGTTTGCAGCCGTCATCTCACCACAACTGCTGGATGTAGTGTGGAGTAGTGCAGTTGTAGTTGTAGTCGTAGTTGTAGTGTGGTGTAGTGGGGTTGTAGTTGTAATGCTGTGTAATTAGTGTAGTGTAGTTGCAGTTGAAGTTGTGGTGTGGTGTAATTAGTGTAGTGTATTGTAGTGTACTGTGGTGTTGTGTACTGTAGTTTGGTATAGTGTAGTGTAGTCTAGCGTAGTGTAGTGTAAGGTAGTGTAGTTGTAGTTGTAGTGTAGCGTAGTGCAATTAGTGTAGAGTCGTGTACTGCAATGTAGTGGTAGTTGCAATTGTAGTTGCAGTTGTAGTTGTAGTTGTAGCGTAATGTAATGTAATTAGTGTAGTGTAGCGCTGTGTAATGTAATGTAATGTAGTTGTAGTCGCATTTGTATTTGTAGGTGTAGTGTGCAGCAGTGTAATTAGTGCAGTGTAGTGTAGTGCGGTGTAGTTGTACTTGTTGTTGTAGCTGTGGTAGTAGTAGTAGTAGTTGTTGTTGTTGTTGTAGTTGTAGTGTAATTAGTGTAGCGTAATGTAGCATTGTTTATTTGCATTTGTAGTATTATAGTAGTAGTAGTATAGTGTAGTAGTAGTTGTAGTTGTAGTTGTTTGTCTATCTATCTATCTATCTTTCTATCTATCTATCTATCTCTCTCTCTCTCTCTATCTCTCTGTCTATCTCTCTGTCTATCTCTCTATCTATCTCTCTGTCTATCTCTCTGTCTATCTCTCTGTCTATCTCTCTGTCTGTCTATCTCTCTGTCTATCTCTCTGTCTATCTCTCTGTCTATCTCTTTGTCTATCTCTCTGTCTATCTCTCTGTCTATCTCTCTGTCTATCGCTCTGTCTATCTCTCTGTCTATCTCTCTGTCTATCTCTCTGTCTATCTATCTATCTATCTATCTCTCTCTCTCTCTCTGTCTAGCTGCAATCTGCAAGCTTGAAAACGAAGCTATTCTGCGAGACTTCCTCAATTTTTGAACTTGACAACGTCAAAAACGAAGCAATTCTGCGAGACTTCCTAATAATTTTTAAGTTGACAGCATCAAAACGAAAGAATTCTGCGAGGCGTCCTCCAAAAATGGAAAGTTGAGTGCAGAGCTGACGGCCTCGTGCCAATGCGTTTTGCGATTTTTCCATTCCATGTGTCTAAATTACTGCGCCTACCACGAAAAAGTGATGTCAGGTCATACGAAGTGCTGCACCTGTCACGCAAAATCATCTCAGCAAACCTGAAGATCTGATGCTCCAAAATGTAACCCCTCTCAGGAAATCAGCGCCCGGACCTCCTAACAGCTCTGATGAAGATGTCTCTTGTTATGCGCCTGCCACGAAAAATGCATGTTTGCAGATCCTCTCCAAATGTCCCAAGCCTGCCATCGCTTTTGGACATGCGACAAAACCCTCACCTTTTTGCTCATTTTTAAGAAGGTGCACAATCCCTTGTGCCTGCCACGCGAAAGCACATCTGAACCTTGAAAAGTGGCGCGAACATGTGGTGTTTTGTACATTTTGCTTCGCGCCACAACGGCGTACACTTTTTGGACATCTCAACTTCCAAAAGTGGTCCGAACATGGTGTTCTTTGTACATTTTGACTTCGAAATGGCGCGCACTTTTTCGACATCGCAACTTCCAAAAGTGGTCCGAACCTGGTGATTTTTGTACATGTTGACTTCGACATGAGCTTTGCGCCACAACGGTGTGCACTTTTTCGACAGCCCAACTCCTAAAAGTGCTCCGAAGCTGAAGCGTTTTGTACATTTTGACTTGGAAATGTGCTTCGCGCCACAACGGCGTGCAATTTTTCATCTCTCATCTGGCCAGCTGGCTCCGCACCCGCCGCTTTAGCGAGCCTACTTTTCGACCTTCCGGGGCCACAAATCATTGGAAAAACCGTGTTTCGCGACTTTCCTACCTTTTCGCGCGCCTGGATCTTCTTTCTTCTGCTTCTCTGATCTTCTCTCTTCTACTCTTCTCTTCTCTCTGACTCTTCCCGTCTCTGCTTTTCATCTGTCCATATTGTCGGAAGTTTGACTTCTAAACTTCCTTCGAATATGACTAGGTTTCTTGATACACTTTGATATACTTTGATATTGCTTTGACAATTTGCCGCGCATGAATATTGTACACATGCCATGTTCGGCCGCCAGGCATTGTTTGACTTTTTGCCGGTCAAGACGACGGATGGCAAGCAGGCAAGGAAGGTTAGTAAGGGCAATTACAGTAACTATCCCAAGATTGTTTAATTTCTGATTGGTGACATTCGGTGAATTACTATTCAATATTTTAGAGTGGGTTTTGCTGTGGAAAAGTTTCCTTTTTTTTTGGGGGTCATTTCACAACCCATGCGCAACCCGCCGGCAGTGTACGTTCGGTACCCATCTGGGATTGAAACCACCAGTCCCAGCCATTCTCCGCGGGGCTGTTTTTCCTTCGGGCCAAGGCGTTCCTCCCGCGCCCTGGAGGCAGCCGGTTGTGTTTGAAGGGTCCCGGGCGTCCTGGTTCCATGGCATCCCGGTTCGGTTCTGGCAGGTGCACCGCTGAATGTGTGCATAGCAGCCTCCAGGCAATGGCCAGCGATCAAACACGCACCAGACAGCACCAAACCCCAAAAGAGGATCAAAAAAAATCAAAAAAGGACATACCATGACGTACGAGAAGTTGAAACATGTGATTAACAAATCCATGGTCTATATGATTTGATAACTTTCTATTATTTTCTATTTTTCGGCAGAACATTAGCAGCATCCTGACCTAAAGAGTTGATAACACATACCAATAACATTGATGAGAGAGGTATGAGAGATCATATTGCATAATATTTTACAATATTACATAATGTATCTCCTGGATTTCATAAAATTGCGGTGGTTGCTCTTTCGTGCTATTTCCATCATTGGAAACCGGGTCCTTGGTTGCAGGATGGGCGCCAAAGTTAGCTTCCTGGGAGCCCTTTCTTCCGACATGTTTGGCGAGGATAGGGCGAAGTGGACAGCATGGCTACCGGGATTTGGGTTTGGTCATGTTCGTACCTGAAAATCATTGAAAATCTAGGGGAACCCCATGGAACCCCCGCAAATTTGATGGTTCAAAACAACTTGAACCATCATTTTTGTGCATTTTGATTCAAGTTCATTCATGTTCATCCATGTTCATTTTCATTCATTTTCATTCATGTTCCCTATTTACAAAACCGGATCATTTCGGAATTTGGGATTTGCCAACTGATTGGCCGATTGTTTTTCTCGGAGGAGCTTTACAGAACCCTTGAGGCCGACAACGTTGACCTGAGCATGGCCCCTCGACCCTGGATCGACAGAATGAACCTTCACTGATTGCTATCAGCAAGCTTCAAAGTATTGTAAATGTCATGTGATGTTACTTCATGGCATTACTTAATGGGATATTAGATGGGGTATTAATTCAATAATTTCAATATTAATGGGATATTTGATGACATGGGATTTACTGGTACCATGGTTCACTGGAAGATTATATATAATCGGATATTAGCTACAGTGGGATACTAATAGATTTTGATTGAATGTCGACCCACGATTAAAACCGTCCAGTTTATTGATACAGGATGTACAGTAGGGGGAACCACTTTTAATCCCCCGTCAGTTTAATAAACAAGCTTTATTTTATCCCGGGATGACTCCTGAAGATAGTAGCTGCAGGGGGCTCCTGTCCCGTCGTGATTCCAAGTGAGGTGAAGCGGCTGCCAAATCCTTCCACGTTGGCATTTGCTTCTTGATGCAATAGGACTCGCCAGTCGCCAGCACAAAATGGGTATTTAATAGGGAAAATGATGACAATCCAATGGATATAAGGGCTCCATATTTTCGGACACACCTATATATGTTTGCCCTGACATTTTATGACCATAGCTCATGAGGTCAGCAAACCGCCTGGATCAGATGTTCGCTATGCGTCGTGTCCCCAGCCCCGTGGCCCCGTGGCTCAAAAGTCCTGGAGCTTTGCTGCGAGCCGCCTGAGGTTTTTCAAGGAAAATGCTGCAGATCGAAGTCTCTCTGCCAGGAACTGGGACGGTATCGATTGCCCGAGCTTCATTGGAGAACGGTCATCAAGCCGAAAATGGTGATTCGTATGTCGTGAGAGAGAGATGTCGCATATATATATGCATACGCGTTTATATATATATATATACATATCTATCCATAGTGTTTGGATTCCCATGGCATTGGATGACACATGTTCGAAGGATTCGATGACCATTTGCAAGATCTTTAAGACGATGCTCTTTATGCTTTTGCAGCATGTGCACCCCTCCGCAGGGGTGTGGCTGAGCTCTTGAGCGGCAAATCCTTTGGTGCACTTCACGTGAGTCTGGGAGCCTGTGCCTCAAACTTTCTCCGATGCAAGATCCTGGGAGGAGCCAATACCATGATGTTGTGTGAAACGATTGTTTTTTTGGCTGAACACTGCTCAAGATCTTCAGCTGCTTGAGTTTTCTGAAAATGCATTCCTTGAAACGGATGGATATGCTTTTGCACATGGGTTTGTGTGAAACTAAGGTACACCAAAATTGGATGGTTTGTCATCAATCTTCATTAAAATCACCATTTTGAGGCATCCCCAATTTTCAGACATACTGAACATCCAGCAGGCTTCAAGAGTGTTGTGCTTCCAAACGGGGTCCCTGGATGTCCCTGGTACCCTGGCTTTCACAACAACTGATCTGGTCATGGATATAAAATCTCCCTGTAATTAGACATAAGATATACCCTTTGGTTATTTAACATAGCTATGGAAAACGGTCCATTTATAGTTGATTTTACCCATTAAAAATGGTGATTTTCAACAGCTATGTTAAATAAGCAGAGGGTAAATGGTACTGTATATCTTTTGGAAATGCGCCTTGCACCTTGCTCCCCTCTAGCTTTGCTGAACTTCTTGAAGAAGGCGATGGAGAGATATGGTATTGCCCCATTCGCATGAGAGAATCATAGCTTTTAACTCACCCTTAAACTAGAATCGCAGACTTGGTTCAGGGGGAACTCTACAGGAAATCCCATAAAAGTATATAAAAGTATATAAGAGTCATGTAGTCCTTTTTGCGGCTGGGAGAATTTTTTCGCATGCTTACGCTCCATGGATATTCCCTTCAAGCCATGGCGAGATGGCGAACTCCAGGCCATCACTCTTGAGGATTCAGTGCTGGCGGAAGCCTTTGAGCAAGCCTACAAGAACACTCACAGTACCAAAGGCGCGGTTTCAGGTGTGTGTTTCAGGTTTTGTTTTGCCTGTAAAATCATGTAAAATCTGTAAATGTTCCTAAATATATATATATATATAACATCATCTAAGCAACGCTTCTAAATTTTGTATGTTCATGTTTTTTCCTCTCACATGTAGCTGGTTGGTGGTTTGGAACATGGCTTTTATTTTTCCATAGGGAATAATCATCCCAACTGACTTCCATATTTTTCAGATGGGTAGGTATACCACCAACCACCGCTGCTGGGGCCAGGCTTTACATCCTTTGATCCCAACCTGCGTGGCCCCATGGTCAAAAGCAGTGCCTTGGATCCGAACCCCCCGATTTCGGCGGTTGGGAGGAGCATCTTGATCACTATGGGGGAACTTGTAGATAGATAGGATATGTGAAATTGTCTGAATGTATTTATATAATACTGTATATATATATATATGTATTATATTATGTATAAATATATACGTATATATATGTATAAACATGTGATATATGGCAATTCGATGCAATTCAAATGGGAAAGATTATTGCATTTCATTCGAATTGGCCCAGTTTGAGACAAACCAATTCAGATAAATCTTGGCACCCACAGTGCCATAGAGTGCCTGCAAACATCCATCCGGAATTGTTTCTTGCTGAATATTCATTAAAACCATGCGAAACTCGGGGTCCGAGTTTGAGGTCCCAGCGTTTATGCGAGCCGTATAGAGGTTGGGCATGGTTGGGCCCAACAGAGATGGACGCGTTCAATCATATTTGGCGATCATCGCATCCACGCAGGCATTTGCGCAGCACGCTGACCTGATCAAATCCTCTGACGCAGATATCGAGCAGCACCCCCAGTCTTGTGAATGTGGTTTGCTGCTTGATGATGTTCACATCTCTTGCAGTTTATTACAGTTTGGCCTCTTCATCCTGTCCCCTTTCTGCCTTTCTGATGCACAGCCACCTTTTTTCAAAGCTTTGGAGCTGCATGGAACTTGAGGGCCATCAGCAAACAAGTCAAAGCCCTGCAGGTTCTTATATGGCGCAGGAGCTGACCTAGAGGCAGTGGCCAAAAAGCGACTTGTCAGCATACAGCGTGAGGAGGGCTAGCAGCTGCCACTCGTAGTGGGCTCCCAAACGGCCCCTTGCGGCACTTGTGCTGTGTGCAAGCTTCCGTGTCAGGTGGCTCCAAAAAGGCGCCAAATTGGCCTTGGACATAGATTCTGATGTGAGTTTGTCCGAAAATGGGGTGCCCCAAAATCCATGAGTGATATGAGTGAGTAGCCGCTAAGGTTGTAGTCACACGCGGTCCTGATGGGGTCGACGCCTTAGAATCATAGGCACCACATGTCGGGCTTCCGTGATATTGGGGCGTCAAGAAATGGGGCGTATTACCTACCTACAATTGGCATACATAATTGGCATTTAGCCATTTAGCCCGAGGATTTAGGTGGTTCCCGTGTTTTTCCTATCATTTTCAGATATTTTCAGATAAGACTTGATAAGACCATGTAAGACCCATATTAGTGCCCACATGTGCCCACCATTTTCCACTTTCCACGAAGGCCACGGCATATTTTCGAGGAAAATCGCTGGCACCTCAGAGTTCATTCGCCGAAAAATGGCCAGCGAAAGAGCGGAAATCGTTCCAGGCAAATAACCTCGCTGGCGGTCAAGCCACCCTGTGAATCGCCCAAGACCATAGATCTTGAGGCGCATTTAATTTTTTTTGGAAATATGTGGACATGTAAATATTAGTGGACATGTTTCGCTGTATGTTTCGCTGATTTATCATTCATTATATTGTGTTTTGTCGGAAGTTGGAACTTGAACTTTTGCGCCATTCATTTTCCAGAGTTTTTACAGTATATGGGTATGGATCAATACCTATGAAAATACCATTTTTAGTGGGTTATTCACATCCATAAATCCCAGCTATTTTGATGTGAACAAAAAAGGGGATTCCATGGGTTTTGACACACTGCCATTATGGTTTTTGGGGACTGTGAGACAGAGGACTCGTACCATAGATAAGGCCTATTTTTGAGGCCTATGGAAGGGAATATCCCCAGAAAATATATGAAAATATGGCCTTATATGGTACAGTAGCTCCATTTTAGGATCCTGAAATTCCCATTGAATACGGTATGTGTATATATATATATGATATATATGATATATATATATATAATAGTTAGTGTCTTGATGACAATTCTCCTGCTTGGAGGGCAATCCTGCGCCTGTGGCCGACACGGTTGGATACGAACTCAGTCTTACAACACGGCGTGCTTGATCGTGGCTGTGTTTTTTGAGTTGCTGTCGTTAGATCCTGGCGTTCTATATATGTTCTGATATGGGTATTTCATGGTATTTCGGTATTTCTGATATATTCTGATATGTTCCTGTTCTGATATATCTCTTTTAGACATATGGTAAGATGCTTCTTACATGTTCTTATGTTTGGTTTTGTGTAAGGCGCTGGAGATACGTGTATGGGCACTTTGCTTTGCTACCTGTTGGGGGAGGTGCAGCGACTGCCAGTGGTTCGCCATGGACCTGTGATGGACCATGGACCTGTGGACCCATGAATTCTGCAGGGTTTCAGCTTCACCAAAGTCGCGAAAGTGACCAAGGCAATTCATACCCTCTGGTAAATTAACTTGTTGACCCTGGCAAATAGGGGTTGGAAGACTAGTTTCCATTAAACATGGGTGAATTTCAGGGTCTATGTTAATTTACTGGAGGGTAATCCAACCACAAAAAGCTTTCATTGAACTGACCAAGCATGTAGAACATATTAGAACATGATAGAACTAGCATGAACGAGCAGTCCAAGTTTCCTTTCTCTTCTGATGCTTTAGACTGGTCGTCTACAGCCAAAACAGACGGCTACTTTGGGCTATTGCTGGAATGCTCATTCGCACAGAAGTATCTACCCTATGCGTTGCGACTCTACACTTCTTAAGAAACATACCGCCATACCGCCGGGTGCTGCGAGCGCCCACATGGCGCACCTTTGCCAATGCTGCGAAGGCACTCACGGCATGTGGTGGAAAGTAGCATCACGAAATGAAGGATTCAATGATGGTCGGAATGGAATGCTTTTATCCTGCCGGCATTAAGCGCAAGGTCGCTGGTTTGCCATGCTTTGCTGGACAATGCTGCGGTGGGAACAGACCCTATCACGCGGCTTAGCCCATTTGCACTTGCCAAATTAGCTCGGCCCCAAGATTGCATCCCACTACCATGCCGAGTGATAATTATATATTCTTCTTGTGAGTGCAATGATCAGTTCTTCATTCAGCAGTTTCGAAGTGCTTGAAAGGCCATTCGCACCTTGCTCGCATCAAGCTCCCGACTGTGCATGGCTGGCAATCGGCTGTCCCACATGCTCCACTATGTGAAACTATGGCTGGGCTGAGAAGCAAACAATTCCACGACACCGTTGGATTTTCTATGATGCTTTGTCCATAGGCTGGTGCAGAATGATTTGCAATTCCATTCTCTTTTGACTTGGTTTTTGCTTGGATGCTGCCAGTCCTTCTTGCAAACCAAGGTGCTGCCAAAGAAAATCGCAAGAGCGTCAACTTCTGGAAAACACTTTCTGCCAGAGCAATGGTGGTTGCTCCCAGCATGCAGCCATCAGATACAGCCTCAGTTAATCTCAGTTAGCAGAACAGCTGGTTGGTGAGTTGTTCTGAAAAACGCCTCATGGGCTCAGGACATGTCTATGGTCTTAGGGGCCTTCGCCCGCATGCGCTACAGAGATCGCGATATGATGGTTCGGATCGCTGAGTCAACTCCGGCGATCCTAGGACAGTTTGCAGCCACAGATATTACGCTACTTGCTGCAAATGCAGACAGAAGCATGTGTTTTTACTGCTTTTTTTTTAAACCATTTTTTTTAAACAGTATGTATACATATTATTTATAGTATTTTATATAGTTAGTTATTATATACATATTTCAGATTGTTGATCTTGGCCTCTTTGCCCTCGTCAGTCTTTCCATTGTCTCAGACATCGCTGAGGCACTACTTGGCAGCATTTGCTCGTCTGGACGTGGAGCATCGCTTAGTTTTCAACTTGATGGCCCGAGAAATTGCCAGGACAGAGCTTAAGATGTACAGCTACCAACGGCTGAATAATGATATTTAATGTTCGCAAAGTAAGAATACACAACCCAGATTTGGATGGTTGGAATATGTTGGAATCCCAACTATGGTAAAAATTGGGGATGGTGGATCCTGTTGCTTTTACTAACATTATGAATGTTTGTGACAAGCGAAAGCTAATGTATCTCACGCATCACTGCTCTAATTCAATAGCATCAATAGCTGTGACGAGGATATTATGCAGGTGCAGCAAGTTAAAGTTGAACAAAGTCTCATAGACCACGGCACAACATAACTTGAACTAATCATACTCGAGTCCGCAGTGGAGTTTCCCTGGCCAGGAAGCTGCACGATTTCAATGCAGCTCAGTTGGGTGAATTGGTCACTTGTCCTGGCAGTGGACAATCCAAGCCGTGTTTGTTCACATGCAAACAGCATGTCATGAGCAAAATTCTGTCAGGTTTATGCCTATGCTCGCTTGAAGCTTCGTCATCAACTGCTGTTGGATGTACTGAAGAAGAGGATGATTGAGGCCGCAGAGATATGCAGAGATGTGGTGCTAGTATCTGCAGGAAAACCATGCGCACTTGTCCAATGGCTGCCGCCAGCCACTTTTTGCCATTCTCTGTCGAAAGGTTGTAAAAGCAATGCGGCCTTGGCATTTGGCCTTGGTGGCCAATGGCTTTGCCCGGTTGCAAACCAGCGCTTCGGCTAAGTTGGAGTTGGAATTATTGGCGCATTCGGAATTTTCAGAGAGGATTCTGTCAAGAGATTCACCTTGTCAGGTGACGAGCGCTTTTTCACCATTTTGGCTTCTGAGATTTGCCGACAGATTTCAGAGTTTGACGGGAAGCCGCTGCTTGGATTTTCTTTCTCTAATTCTCTCACATTATCTCTTGTTTTCTGTGCTTTCACTGGAGCCATACCTTGCTCCAAACGATTTGCCTCGATTGGAAACAGACTTTTTCTGGCCTAGGCAGACATAATACCCTATAGAAACGCTGGCTTCCCAGGCTTGCTTTGGTGGCAAATGCGTATGCAAGACTAGAAGTCCGAAACCGTCTCTGGGCTTTCCGTTGCGAAGTGAGGGCACTCGTGCGACCACAGGATGAAGCAACCTCACCAAAGTAAAATCTCGGATGGCACTGATGGCACATTCAAATGCTGGGGAAAACTTGGGCTAATGACTTGCTGCTAATTTGTACTTGCACTTGTCATATCGGAGATCGGTGTGATGGTCCTCTTAAGATCTCTTAAGATCGCCTTTGAACATCTTTGAACAACCCTTAAAAGGCAAGGGGATGGTTCGCCACTTCTTCGGTGGAATTGTGATGAATCACGTCCTGGTGTTTCCACCATCCGGTGAACCCCGATGAAAAACATCGTTCCTAAGCCCTTGTGAGTGGTTGTTGGTTGTTAACAAGTTCTTAATTCACCAGCTGCTATTGGGGGGTCACCGGTCAGGGATTTGGGAGGATTGGATCCACATATCACCAGAGACCCTGGTTTAGCGTGGTTTAGCCATGGGATCTATGATCTATTCATCTTGGGGGCCTACATTGATTACACACACATTGTGTAACTTCTTAATTATTGCTTGGAGGATTATCCCATGTAGAGTAGTAAGGGGTTAATAATAACCCCGGTTCCTAAGTCCCCTAAATGTAATCTAGCCATATCTAGCCTATTTATATATCTTTAAAGCTAGGTTATAATGTTATAAGTAGTTATAACATGTTATTACCCCAGTTACAAGATGTTACCAGCACATCCAGCAGTTGGCTTCGAGGCTTTCTACTGGAGCTCTTGGGCGATGAGGCGTTCCGTCGAAGAGGTGAACTTGAACCTCAAGCTATTGCCCTGCTCGTCAACGCGCACGCGCGGCTACAAATGTCAAATCCACTACTCTTCGAGCTTTTCTTGCACCAAACTTGTTTGAGATTCCTTGAGTGAACATCAATACCATGTTCTTTTGAAACCCTTTGCCTGGTAATTTCTGAAGGTTCACGACTTGTGTTCACGTTGAGACTCAGCAGGACCTGATTCTCCAAGATCCAAGGATTATTTTGCACAAGATATTCCGCGCCGGATTCGTGCTCACAATCTTCAATCTCTTTGTCTCATCTCGAGTGCTTTCGCCAAATCACGAAAAAGTGATGAAACATTATTTGCAGCTTGGCTCATTCATGGAAACTACCATAAACCATAAACTATCTACATCTCCATTGTTTATGGTGACATATGGTGACCGTCCTCATCATTGGATTTCCGTGGTAAAACGATGCCTGGATTCGCCATCAGCAGCGGCTTCCAGGGAAAGATCGGAGACTATGTTTGTTCTCATGCATCAGAGCTGCTTGGTTCGTTCTTAACTGCTTGGTGGTTTGGAACATGAATTCTATTTGTTTTATTTATTACTGTAAATGTTGGGAATAAACAGATCCCAACTGACTGACTCATATTTTTCAGAGGGGTATACCTACAACCAGTTAAACATGTCTGAATCTAGAATTACCGGATGGTCTAATTTGCCTTGCTTGTGTTTGCTGCTGTGCATTACTGCATCCTGGAGCAGCAAAAGCATGGTCTTTGGATGCCGCTCAAAAAATCAACCGAATCAACTTGGACGTGCCAATGAGTTATTGAAGATTGGCGCGCTTTGTTGATTTTATCTTGATTCTATCTATAGTGCATTATTCTTTGTAAAACATGTTAAACCATTGCCATTGCCGAAAATGTGTACCAATTGTATGTTTTGCATTTGCGTTGTTGGACATTTTGGTCATAGGTCTTGGATACGGTTCTAAGGTTGTATCCACGAGCCGTGGCGACATTTCTCTTTTCCTTTTCAGAAGCTGATATCCGTCATGGAACCTTCGTCAGCATTGACCAAATCTGTTGATTTCAGATTTCAAAAACATCAAGTCCGGTGGAGGTTTGGCTCAGGTTTTCACCCTTTGGTAGGCAACTATGCAAATTGGGCTTTCTAGCCGGGATTTGTTCAAACTATAATACCCTCTGGTAATTTAACATAGCTATGGAAAATCACCATTTTCAATGGGAAAATCCACTATAAATGGTGATTTTCAATAGCTATGTAACAAATTACTAGAGGGTAAATGGATCTCACTGGGCCGATTTCATCCCATGTGACCTGTGAGGTGTGCTGTTCTTCAATGCCCCGGAGCACGTGTTGCAGAATATCCAGGCATACACCACAGATGAACTCTGCATGGTTGGTGCCTCAGTGGCCGGCCGATCGGGAGGATTTTGGAGGCACTATTCTTGATCCTAACAAACCACCATTTTTCATGGTGAAACCATGTAGAAACCATGGGAAAACCCACGACATTTTTGATGGTTAAATCCTAACAAATCATCTGACATCATGACCTTTGCCTTGGGTTGTTTCAGCTGTTTCAGGTGGGACGGGCATATGGGCATTTCCAAATGGCCCATACGCCGCTGTTCGAATGCATCAGTGAGACTTTGCCGCACCACACTTTGGCCTTGGAGGCATTGGCATGGCATTGGCATGGCATGACTTCAACACACTTAGGGGAAAACCAATGAAAAACCTCCAAATTAATAGTTTATTATAGTTTATTATAGTGATATACTGATATACTCCACGTGCAGGAGAACAAAAAATCAACAACTCGTCAAAACACGTTTCAGTGAGCCGATTCACTGGGCCACAACCGCCCAGTACTAGGCAGATCAGACTGAAGAGATTTCGGCACAAGATGAGGATGCAGAGGTTGGTGGAACCTGTTGGCATTTGGTATAAATAGATATAAATAGGGTCACCTCAAAATTTGATGGTTGTCATTTCTCCATTAATAGCATGACATAGCAATCTATTGGGTATATTCTATTTTCAGACAAACCCATTTGGACATGTGGGCATGTTACCCTCTGGTAATTTAACATAGCTATTGAAAATCACCATTTATAGTGGATTTTCCCATTAAAAATGGTGATTTTCCATAGCTATGTTAGTTTACCAGAGGGTAACAGGAATGATACCTTGGATAGGACCGTGTGGAGAATAAGCCAGCGCTGCCGAAGATCTCGTCGTTGATCGGTTTGCTCGAGGCGAGGCAGCATCTTTACCATTCCGTGATATCATCGAATAGGTATGGGTCAGAATTCGGTATCCCTACAAATGGTCAATACAGATTGAATGTTCACATTTGCGGTATTTTGATGTATTTTGCGGTCCCCTGGCCTTCCATTTTGACTCAAAATATCTCAAAATCCAAATATCTGGAAGGTGTGAGGCCTATGCCAGATGAGTTCCATTGCAAGCCACGGAGGCCTATGCCAGGCTGACCATCTACCATGCCCGGAGCAATGAGTTGCTCTGTGACGCCATAGCACGGCGTGAATCTGAGCTGGTGCCAGCGTTGGTGGTGAAGGTGCCTTGCCCAATGATCATATGGGGGTTTCCATAAATGGGGGTACCCATGGGTACCCCCAAATGGATGGTTTATAATGGTTAAATGCCATTAAAATATGGATGATTTGGAGGTACTTCTATTTCAGGAAACTTCCATATCTCACACAGAGATATCAAAACGGGCACCTGACAACGCAAGCAGCTTCGCCTGGGAGGTAGCTAGGGCCTGTGCGGCGCTCTCTTTCGCACACCCTGACGTGCTCAGGCAGGGGCAATCTTGGGATATCTTGGGATATCTTGGGATATTGGATTTTCACATCTTTTCATAACATTTCACAAGGGACTGAAGCGAAATGCCAGGATTGCCACTCAGTGCATGGCAGAATATGGTGAGCAATTGCCGGAGGAGGTTGCCGTGATGTTTTTGATTGTTTTTGAACTTAGATATGTTGTAGGTGGGAGACAGTGCGTATTTTTTGTGGGCCGTAGGGTGAGACAGAGTTCTTTTCTCCGTGGCATTGGCAACTGAAAAGAATCCACCAACACGGCAAGGTGATTAATTATTCAACATGCGATGCCAAGCATAGGGGCGGCTGATGTTAGCATCGGACCAACACAACACCTCTAGCCTTTGACCCAACTCCTGCGCAGAGGGCAGAACACTCCTAGTCAACGGAACACTATCTACGTAGATGCATTGCATGGTATAGCTATATATATTGCATTGGCATGTTTGCATGTAATCCCATGTAATCCCCAAACATTACAGGCTAGGTCTTGGGCAGGCTGGCCACATAGCGACAGAGAGAGAGAGAGAGATAGACAGACACTTTCAAGAATGCATGGGGCAAGCAAGAAACCCCAAGATATAGTAATTTATGGCTATTCTGTCAATTCCGCGGGTGTTCGCCAAGATACCTGGCTCATACCTCCAATGTGTGGTTGTTCATGATCAGTCTCTGCACAGCCCCGGTTTTGTTTGTGCGAGGACTTTGACCTCTTGGGGCAAGCTTTGGAAGATTTGGGCGTGCTAAGTCAGGATCCTCTTCTGATGCTGGCCGCATGCTCAGTCAATATATCGAATCTATGGATGAAAATCCATGAAAAGCCAGTGTTTCTATCATTTGTGATTGCTAGAATAATCCAGAATCTCAGCATCTCCAATATTCGGTTTGGGAATGTTTACGCATACAAGGCAGCTTTGACTAAGGAACGTCCCTCCTCAGAGATGGCTGAGATGAAGATTGAAGCGGCAAGCGGAGAAAAAGAGAATGCTGTGTGGTGATTTATTCCTTCGTCTTAATGGATTGGTTGAAGGGAAAGCCTACCAGAAAAAAACCTATGATTTGGCCTCCAATTTATGAGGGTTTCCTGCAGATTTTCCCTTCAACCATTCTTGGATTCTCTGTTTGGCAGCTGAGCTTTGTAGACCGAGCGTCTTCAGTCGCAAGCGACAAAACCTTACCTTGTCAGGACGGTGGTGCCCCCCTGGTGGATCAGCTTGCCTTTCGCCTCAGCATCGATATTGGTCATCCATTGGTCATTTGGGGCACAGCCGGATCTTATGATATGTGGTTTACAGCCTGGTGGTTTCCGGCTTCAACGTTCTCTTTTGCATGTTCCATCCTATTTAGGATGATGATCCAAATTGACTATTTTTTTTAGGATTGGTTGAAACCACCAGCCGGTTTAGTGTTTGCCAATCCTTTGGTTGTCGCTGCCACTTCAGCTCAAGAAGTGGTGGTGGATTCTAACGCAGCATGAACAACAGGTTGAAGCCTGTTTCTATCAGTCATTATCAGACTGCAGCCGAACCCAACATGGCACTGCTTAGCTCTACAGATGGGCAAGCTGCATTGCTTCACATAGATTTCCGCGAAGCCAAGAAACCGAAAAAAGCAGAACCGGTTTCCCAGCCATGGGTGCATCCTGCGGCCGATTTGTTCAAGCCTACAAGCATTTGCGGGCCAAGATCCATCGCGGATCCACCCGTTTTGGGACACGCTCCGAAGAGTTGTGCCCTGGCTCTGGCGGATTCTGGCCGTGGGATCGCGGTGAAGCCACTCTAGTTGACTGTTAGGGGGATATGTACACATTGTACAGACAAGCGTATTTAATGTAGGTTACTGATTAGTGTGGGGAGGCCCCCCCCCAAACAAATTTGGGGTACAGAATAGTGTGGAAAAAACAAGGTACCGGGTACAGAATACGGTAAAATCAAAAAAAAATGATAGATTTAAATTGATTTCAATTTACTTTCAATTGATTTGAATTGATTTTGAATTGATTTCAATTTACTTTCAATTGATTTGAAATTACTTTCAATTGATTTCAATTTACTTTCAATTGATTTGAATTTATTTTGAATTGGTTTCAATTTACTTTCAATTGATTTGAATTGATTTTGAATTGATTTCAATTTACTTTCAAATGATTTCAATTTACTTTCAATTGAATTCAAGTTACTTTCAATTCATTTCAAGTTACTTTCAATTGATTTCAATTTACTTGCAATTGATTTCAATTTACTTTCAAGTAAAAGAAAAAAAACAATCACCTCAGGAAGCAGCTGGACACAATAGTGTACCCCCAAACAAACCATACTATTGTGTATCATGATCATTCATGGTTTTATTTTTTGCTTGGCTGAAACTATCATTTAGAAAGCCTTTGGTTTTGATTCCAAGAAAAATGAAGCTAAGTAAAAGAAACAAACTTTAGCAAAGGAAAATGTAAAGGGAATGTTAAAAAACAAAATCACCTCAGGAAGCAGCTGGACACAATAGTGTACCCTCAAACAAACCATACTATTGTGTATCATGATCATATTCATTTCAAGTTACTTTCAATTGATTTCAATTTACTTGCAATTGATTTCAATTTACTTTCAAGTGAAATAAAAAAAAAACAATCACCTCAGGAAGCAGCTGGACACAATAGTGTACCCTCAAACAAACCATACTATTGTGTATCAGGGTTGCTCATGGACTACCCCCTTGAAAAATTGTTTGAGTGATGTTTTTAAATTGGGTTTAAATAAGGCATCATTTCTGAGAATTCTAAATAAAAGAAACCAATTGAGAAAATAAAAGAAAAAACTTTAGCAAAGGAAAATGTAAAGGGAATGTAAAAAAAACAAAATCACCTCAGGAAGCAGCTGGACACAATAGTGTACCCTCAAACAAACCATACTATTGTGTATCATGATCATTCATGTTTTTTTTGGTTGGCTGAAACTAATCCTTTGGAAAGCCTTTGGTTTTGATTCCAAGAAAAATGAAGCTAAGTAAAAGGAAACAAACTTTAGCAAAGGAAAAGGTAAAGGGAATGTTTCAAAAAAATCACCTCAGGAAGCAGCTGGACACAATAGTGTACCCTCAAACAAACCATACTATTGTGTATCATGATCATTCATGTTTTTTTTGCTTGGCTGAAACTAGTCCTTTGGAAAGCCTTTGGTTTTGATTCCAAGAAAAATGAAGCTAAGTAAAAGGAAACAAACTTTAGCAAAGGAAAAGGAAAAGGAAATGGTTGAAAAAAAAACATAACCTCAGGAAGCAGCTGGACACAATAGTGTACCCTCAAACAAACCAGACTATTGTGTATCAGGGTTGCTCATGGACTACCCCCTTGAAAAATTGTTTGAGTGATGTTTTTTAATTGGGTTTTAATAAGGCATCATATATTTTGGGAAATCGAGCATTTCTGAGAATTCTAAATAAAAGAAACTAATTGAGAAAGTAAAGCTTTAGCAAAGGAACATGCAAAGGGAATGTTAAAAAATCAAAATCACCTCAGGAAGCAGCTGGACACAATAGTGTACCCTCAAACAAACCATACTATTGTGTATCATGATCATTCATGTTTTTTTTTGCTTGGCTGAAACTAATCCTTTGGAAAGCCTTTGGTTTTGATTCCAAGAAAATGAAGCTATATAAGTAATTACAAGGAAACAAAGTTTAGCAAAGGAAAAGGTAAAGGGATTGTTTCAAAAAAAATCACCTCAGGAACCAGCTGGACACAATAGTGTACCCTCAAGAAAACCAGACTATTGTGGATCTCGATCATTCAATTGATTTGAAGTTACTTTCAATTGATTTCAATTTACTTTCAATTGATTTCAATTTACATTCAATTTACTTTGATTTGATTTCAAATTACTTTGAATTTACTTTCAATTGATTTCAATTTACTGCCAATTTACTTTCAATCGACATCCCATAGAAATCCAATGGTAGTCCCAAAGAAATATCATAGAAATCCCATAGAAAGATCATAGAAATAACATGGAAATCCCATAGGAATCTCACAGAAATCCCATAGAAAGATCATAGAAATAAAATGGAAATCCCATAAGAATCTCACAGAAATCCCATAGAAAGATCATAGAAATAACATGGAAATCCCATAGGAATCTCACAGAAATCCCATAGAAAGATCATAGAAATAACATGGAAATCCCATAGGAATCTCACAGAAATCCCATAGAAAGATCATAGAAATAACATGGAAATCCCATAGGAATCTCACAGAAATCCCATAGAAAGATCATAGAAATAACTGAAATAACATGGAAATCCCATAGGAATCTCACAGAAATCCCATAGAAAGATCATAGAAATAACATGGAAATCCCATAAGACTCTCACAGAAATCTCACAGAAATCCCATAGAAAGATCATAGAAATAACATGGAAATTCCATAAGAATCTCACAAAAATCCCATAGAAAGATCATAGAAATAACATGGAAATCCCATAGGAATCTCACAGAAATCCCATAGAAAGATCATAGAAATAACATGGAAATACCATAAGAATCTCACAGAAATCCCATAGAAAGATCATAGAAATAACATGGAAATCCCATAAGAACCTCACAGAAATCCCATAGAAAGATCATAGAAATAACATGGAAATCCCATAGGAATCTCACAGAAATCCCATAGAAAGATCATAGAAATAACATGGAAATCCCATAGGAATCTCACAGAAATCCCATAGAAAGATCATAGAAATAACATGGAAATCCCATAGGAATCTCACAGAAATCCCATAGAAAGATCATAGAAATAACATGGAAATCCCATAGGAATCTCACAGAAATCCCATAGAAAGATCATAGAAATAACATGGGAATCCCATAAGAATCTCACAGAAATCCCATAGAAAGATCATAGAAATAACATGGAAATCCCATAGGAATCTCTCATAGAAATAACATGGAAATCCCATAGGAATCTCACAGAAATCCCATAGAAAGATCATAGAAATAACATGGAAATCCCATAGGAATCACAGAAATCCCTCACATCCCATAAAAAGATCCATAGAAAGATCATAGAAATAACATGGAAATCCCATAGGAATCTCACAGAAATCCCATAGAAAGATCATAGAAATAACATGGAAATCCCATAGGAATCTCACAGAAATCCCATAGAAAAGATCATAGAAATAACATGGAAATCCCATAAGGATCTCACAGAAATCCCACAGAAAGATCATAGAAATAACATGGAAATCCCATAGGAACCTCACAGAAATCCAAAGAAATACCATAGAAATAACATGGAAATCCCATAGGAATCTCACAGAAATCCCATAGAACGATCATAGAAATAACATGGAAATCCCATAAGAATCTCACAGAAATCCCATAGAAAGATCATAGAAATAACATGGAAATCCCATAGGAATCTCACAGAAATCCCATAGAACGATCATAGAAATAACATGGAAATCCCATAGGAATCTCACAGAAATCCCATAGAAAGATCATAGAAATAACATGGAAATCCCATAGGAATCTCACAGAAATCCCATAGAAAGACCATAGACATAACATGGAAATCCCATAGGAATCTCACAGAAATCCCATAGAAAGATCATAGAAATACCATAGAAATCCCATAGGAATCCAATGGAAATCCCATAAGAATACCATAGAACTCCCATAGCACCCCTTCAGAAATCCCATAGAAATCCTCCAGAAATATCCCATAGGAATCCCATAGAAATCCAATAGTAATACCATAGAAATACCATAAAAGAAAAAAACTTTAGCAAAGGAAAAGGTAAAGGGAATGCTTGAAAAAAATCTCACGAGGAAACATCTGGACACAATAGTGTACCCTCCAAACAAACCACACTATTGTGTATCAGGGTTGCTCATGGACTACCCCCTTGAAAAATTGTTTGAGTGATGTTTTTAATTGGGTTTTAATAAGGCATCATATATTTTGGGAAACTGGGCATTTCTGAGAATTTCAAATGAAAGAAACTAAGAAAGTAATTAAGTAATTAAAAGAAAAAACTTTAGCAAAGGAAAAGGTAAAGGAAATGATTGAAAAAAATCAAAAAAACATGACCTCAGGAAAGCAGCTGGACACAATAGCGTACCCTCCAAACAAACCACACTATTCTGTATCAGGGTTGCTCATGGACTACCCCCTTGAAAAATTGTTGGAGCGATGTTTTTTAATTGGGTTTTAATAAGGCATCATATATTTTGGGAAACTGGGCATTTCTGAGAATTTCAAATGAAAGAAATTAAGAAAGTAATTAAGTAATTAAAAGAAAAAAAACTTTAGCAAAGGAAAAGGTAAAGGAAATGATTGAAAAAATCAAAAAATCATGACCTCAGGAAAGCAGCTGGACACAATAGTGTACCCTCCAAACAAACCACACTATTGTGTACCAGGGCTGCTCATGGACTACCCCCTTGAAAAATTGTTTGAGTGATGTTTTTTAATTGGGTTTTAATAAGGCATCATATATTTTGGGAAACTGGTCATTTCTGAGAATTTCAAATGAAAGAAACTAAGAAAGAAATTAATTAAAAGGAAAACACTTTAGCTAGCAAAGGAAAAGGTAAAGGAAATGATTGAAAAAAAAACAAAAAATCATGACCTCAGGAAGCAGCTGGACACAATAGTGTACCCTCCAAACAAACCACACTATTGTGTATCAGGGTTGCTCATGGACTACCCCCTTGAAAAATTGTTTGAGTGATGTTTTTTAATTGGGTTTTAATAAGGCATCATATATTTTGGGAAACTGGTCATTTCTGAGAATTTCAAATGAAAGAAACTAAGAAAGAAATTAATTGAAAGAAAAACACTTTAGCTAGCAAAGGAAAAGGTAAAGGAAATGATTGAAAAAAATAAAAAAAACATGACCTCAGGAAAGCAGCTGGACACAATAGCGTACCCTCCAAACAAACCACACTATTCTGTATCAGGGTTGCTCATGGACTACCCCCTTGAAAAATTGTTTGAGTGATGTTTTTAATTGGGTTTTAATAAGGCATCATATATTTTGGGAAACTGGGCATTTCTGAGAATTTCAAATGAAAGAAACTAAGAAAGAAATTGATTGAAAGGAAAACACTTTAGCTAGCAAAGGAAAAGGTAAAGGAAATGATTGAAAAAAATAAAAAAATCATGACCTCAGGAAAGCAGCTGGACACAATAGTGTACCCTCCAAACAAACCACACTATTTTGTACCTGGATGTAATTTTCTGTGGAAGGCATCTGGAAAATTTCAATGCTGGAAAATAAAAAGTAAAAGGAAAAAGCTTTAAAAAATGAAAAAATGAAAAATGTTTGAACAACAAAAAAAGACCAAGACACAATTGTGTATCCTGACACAATGACACAATTGTGTATCCTGACACAATTTTACAAAATAATAAAAAAAATATAATTAAAAATAAAAATAATTAAATTAACAATTATTGTAATTAAAAATAAAAATAAAAAATAATTTAAAATAAAATAAAAATTAATTAAATTAAAAATTATAATTAATTAATTAAAAATAAAAATAAAAAATATTATAACTAAAAATAAAAATAAAAAATAATTTAAAATAAAATTAAAAAAATAAATTAAAAATTATTATAATTAAAAAAATAAAAATATTTTAAAATTTAAAATAAAATAAAACACAATTAAAAACTAAAAAAATGAAAAGAATGAAAAAAAAAACTTACACCAAAATCCTGTGGACACAAAACTGTACCCTCGATCATTTCCAAAGTTTCAGAATAATTTTGAGGTCTGTGGACACAATTCAGTATCCCCACACTAATCAGTATCCAACATTATTGTATTTAATTACAGTATACATTTCTTTTCACAGAATATATATATGTAATTACGTATTCTCTCTCTCTCTCTCTCTGTGGCTATACAAACTTAGTAGAACTTAGTTGTGCATATGAACTACTGCAAATCAATTTCGACGCGCTAAGATCTCTGATTTCATGGGCCAAGTCGTTGGCCCCTTTTTCTCGCCATTTTCTCGCACCAATCCAAGGTGGGGAAAAGATGAAAAGGTGGAGTTGAGAGTTTTTGCAGGGACCTGGAATCTGGGCAATGTGGAGCCAACAGCTGATCTACAGGTTTCCTGGACAGGACAGTTATACACCTAAGGGAAACCATTGTTTTGACCCCCGAATATGGGGTGCTTTCTGCAGATTTTCCCTTAAAGGGTCATGTTTTGAGCACATGTTCAGTGAGCTAAGGATTGGTTGAAGCCTGGTTGCGACATCTACTTGATAGGTGTTGAGGAGTGTTGCTACACTTCTCCCCCAGGATTTAGCAGCTGCTTTGAGCATTGGCATGATTTGGTGCAGAGCTCTTTGCCATCCTTGCTGACGTTATGCCGACATGACATGGGCCACTGTCAGATTCTGTTCTTGGCCACTGAGCGCGTGAGCAAGAGCATCCATTCAGTGGTGGCCAGTCATGAAGAGACTGGTTTGGGAGGCTTGTATTCCAACAAAGGCCGGGAAGTGCGGTGATCTTTTGATTTTCACAATGGTCAATTGTCATCAATCCACCAAAACTGGGGTATGTATCAACCTGGATATACCTGGATACATCTACATATTATATATATATGTGTGTGTTTGTGTGTGTATGCAAATACAATAAACAGATACATAGATATATGAATAAATAAATGAATTAATACATATATCAATAATAAATAGTAACAATAATAATAACAATAATAATAACAATAAAACAATAATGGTAATAAGAATAATAATGGTAATATATTTATATATGCATACATTGTAGAATGCATATCTACATATATCCACACATATAATATATCTATATATGATATCTATATGTGTACATACTTGTTTAAACCTCCATAAGTTCGATCCACCTTCAGGTGGCCTGGCCTTGTCCTTTTGGATCGGCGACAATGCCATTTGTTTCGTGTCCTCACACTTGGCCGCGCACCAATGCAACGTCTCACGCCGCAACTTGGACTCGGCCCACATTATCGAAGGGATTTGTTTGACCACGGATTCCCAGAGACCTTTGACGAACCAGTTACCTGGCTGCATATTTGTATATTTATAATATTTGTTCTATAAGTTGATATTGTATCATCAGGTTATGATTGTTATGGTATGTATATTGCACACATACATACGTACCGAATATACATATACAATTATCGATATCTATCTATCTCTATCCATCTATCTATCTATCCATCTATCTATCTATCTATCCATCTATCTATCTATCCATCTATCTATCTATCCATCTATCTATCTATCCATCTATCTATCTATCCATCTATCTATCTATCCATCTATCTATCTATATCTATATCTATCTATATCTATCTATATCTATCTATATCTATCTATATCTATCTACTTATATATATACATATATTATTTCAATATATATAAATAATACTATGTGACATATCTGCATGTGACAGCTGTGTGCAAGGATGTTCTTAAGGTATTTGCGGTCATGGCCTGCTGGGACTGCACATAAACTTCTCCGAGATCACTTGCGTCGCTGGTTTTCATCAACGAGATCATCAAAGTCATCAGAATTCTGCAAAGATATGCAAAGATTGACAATGTAATGTATGGACATGTTTTTTTTGGGGCGCATCCTATCCTTTCAAATTCAAGAGGTCTGGGGGCTGCAAACACCCGGCACAGCTCAGGTTTCAACACGTCATTTGGGTAGGTGCCTTGGACGCAGGCATATACGACGTCTATTGACATTGGTGGAAATTCACTGTTGCCTTCAACCCATGTTTTTTTTTTCCTGTGTTTATATTATATATATAGTAAATAATGTGATGATCGATATATTCTATTAATATCTATTAATGTCAACACCTCAAGAACCGTTGCGATGCTGCGGGCAGGTGACTTGAACTACCGGCTTGACATTGAGAGAAAGGAATGTCTAGAGCTGATCCAGAACAATCGCTGGGAGAAGCTTCAGGAGTACGACCAGCTACTCAAGGTTTCGTGGCCGTTTTGGAGCACAGGGTTCCACACTTGCAAGGGCCGTTGCAGGGTTCCAGGGTTCCAGGGTTCCAAGGTTCCAAGGTTCCAACGATGCATTCTTCCTGACACAACTGCCCGCCCAAGAGATTGAACCCCAACAGAACCGTTGTTGGGAAATTCCTGCGTTTACGTTGGGAACTGCATCTCCACTTTCCTGATGTGCGAACTCTTTGGACCATGAAAACGCAACAAATGCAGCATTATCCTGGCATGTTGCCTAAATTTGGTGAACAAATGCTCAGGAATTTGGTGAACGTTCAACAATGGTTCGGAACATCAATTGGACGACAATCCGGGATAGTCTTCTAAATGCTGGACGTTTACATTGGGGGACTGCACAAAAGGTTCGTGTAGGGATGCCATTCGCTCCGGAGGTGCAGGCTGATGGCGAGGCCTTCTGCAATTTCCGGGAAGGTGCCGCCAGTTTTTATGCGTCGGTATTTGTTGTTGCAAAAACACATGTTATTTTTTCATATTTTTTCCCTTTGGCAAACTAACAGTTTGCTATGGAAAATCACCCATGTTCATAGGTAAATCAACTGTAAATCGCCATTTTCAATAGCAAAGTGTTAAATTACCGGAGGGTATTGTGCTGGAGCGCATGAGTGCCGCCAGGGCCTTTGAATTTCGCTCCAACATACCAGCACATTCCAGGCGAATGGGTGGGTGGAATGGCCTTTCCTCTCGGCGTGACAAATGTCCCTTGAGTTGTGCATCATTTTGCATCATGTCACGGAATTCGAGGGAACACTTGCGGAAAGTTGAGATCCATATTGGATTCGGGTTTGGTAAACAATAGTAAACAGCTTTTCCATAGTTTCCCTGGTTGGTGGTTTCAAACATGTTTTATTTTCCATTTCATATATGGGATGTCATCCTTCCCATTGACGTCGAGGAGAGCCGCTGGATCCAGAGACGGGTCTGCGGCCATATGATAAGAGGAAAGCGCGGGTGCCGTCCTGGACAGATCGAGTCTTGTGGCGATCCTTTCCAGATGCAGTCGCCATGGCGAATTTCAGGGTTGGTCTGAGAATTGCGTGGGAAAGCCACGGGAAAAGTATGGAAAATGGAAAAGATCTGTACAGTAGGTGATCTAAGTCGAAGATTTGGCTTGAAATAGTGAGGAGGTGCCATGATAGCCACCTCAACTTGTTCAGTTACTCAATGGTCAATGATTCAAAGCTTGAATTTGGTGCCACCTTAGGAACTTGAACTTGAAGCTGGAAGCTACAGCAGTTCCCCTCAGATTTGCAGCAGCGATCACTCTCCTGTTGGAGCGATTTTCCGCATGTCGGTGATGAGACCCTACCACATCTTCGAGAATGCCTCGGAGCGCAGGATTTACATCCGCTTGAGCAGGCTGACAGCAACGGGTCTTGGAGGAGGTGATCATCACATCTCCTTTCGAGCGCAATATTGTGAGGAGGACAAGCACACCAGCAATGCCACCAGCAAGGATGGCAAGGTGACGTTCCACACTGTGGTGCTCACAACGAAACGAGGTGTGTGCAGCAGAAAGTGGATACAAACACGTCACATACTGGTGGCCATCTACAAAGTGGATGATGCCCTCGAGAGCGCCCACATGCAGCTTGCCGGCAGATGCAAATGATATGTATAGACGATGTCCTTTGAAATGCTACATTCATGTATGCATCATGCACCACACATATCATATCATATAATATAATATATTATATTATACTATTATATTACTATATTATTATATTAATAATAATTTATATTTATATTTAATAATGTGCAAACTATATTTTTCTTTAATCACATAATATATATACACATTATATACATTAAACTATATTTTTATATAGTTGATTAAATTAATATATTATATTTATTATTATATATATATATACTATTATTGTTAATTTGTATATTATATTATATTTGTATTAATTATTATAACTATTTTTTTATGATATTATAATATATATATATTGATATTTGTACGTTTTTATATTTATATTATATTGTATTATATTGCTATTTTTATTGTTATTGTATTGTCATTGTTATTGTTATTATTTTTATTTTTTGTTATTATTATGATTATCACATTTTATATTGTATTATGTTATTTATATTTGTGTTTATTATCATGTTTTAATTCATTTACGTGTGCTAGTATAGAACAAGCGTGCACACACACATGCATACATAGTATATTAATAATATACGTGTGTGTGTGTGTGTGCTATATATACATTGTTACACGCCGTGCGTGTACATATGCAGTATGCTTTGTACTCAGTTTTTGTAAATACCAATAACCCATAGTAGGGAAACCATGGAAAACCATGGGATATGGGTACTTTTAATTGCTCAAATCGTTGCTTTTGGCCTGCTGAAGGAATGAAATGGATTAATAATATTGACTAATCATATGAACAGCAGTTGGACATGACTCTTGGTGCCTGATATTTTTTGTTGATTGCCATCAGAGACCGAGGCGCTCACACCCAGTGTCGACTATTATGGCGTTGACGGGTCTGGCTGAAGATTTCGAGGAACCCGATGGATATGGTGTCATCAGCCTTTTGGGTGCAGCGGCCGGAGCCAAGAAATTCACCGCTCCCATCAGTGACAGCCTGGGCGTCATCGTGGGAAGCTTGCACGGCCAAGTTCAGATCATGAAACCTCCAGAGGAGGAAGCGGATCAAATCTTGAACTACAAATCTGGGACGTTTCTCAACTCAGCCCAGTCGATTAGAAAGGGCTCAAAAGGCTCTGCAAGCTGGTCACCCAGAGACACCAACGACGATGATTCGGTTGTGCCGTCCTGCTGCTTGAATGTCAAGACCATGCATTTGGTTTGAGAGTCCCAGGGGCTATGCCCCGTGGCTTCGACCCTGGGCCATTTGTCAGGATTGGGCTTGATGGTTCAGCCGTCCAGCCTAGTTCCAATATGGTCAGCAGCACATCAGATAGATAGATGTAGCAATATAGCAATGTAGCAGGTCAAACGGTCAGTTGTACCCTGGAGTTGGGATGGTTGGGATGGTTGGGATGGTTGGGATATGATGACCCTGTCTCTCTTGGAATCCGCATGGAGAAAGTGTCGCAAAGCTCATTCCACCTCGAGGGTTCAACTGCACTCAAAATGACAAATGTAAAATGTGTGTAAATGTGATTGCAAGAGCTTGCTGACAGTGCCTAGGCATCTATTTCAATTCTATTTCATTGCCCTACACCGCACATACTGCACAGTTTCCCCACTGCTGCTCAGGTTGCTTCATAATGCCATTCTGTTGGTTGATTGCATTGCTGTAACCTCCTGTGGCATCGCAATCAGATATTCTAGGTGATGGATGCGTAAATTTATTTTTGTCAACTTGTGCCGGTTCGATTCAATCATCCAATTTTGGCCGGAGATGTACTTCAGTTATTATATATATATGATTATATATATATATATATCTATTTATAATTATATGTATATATATATGTGTGTGCGTATATGTATACATTGATGCATATTTATACATATATACACACATGTATGTGTGTATACAATGTTGGCACACATATACAACAATGTATTATATGTATGGAAGGAAATTCACTTGGCCAATCTTTCCATAATGAATTAAAGGATTAACGGCCGTACACCGTCAATGTAGCTAGCAACCTGATTTGTGGGCAAGGCCGGAAGGCCTATGATTCGCCTTTGCTGACAATCCACGGCTTGCGACATCGCTAAATGGGGATGCAATCGCCGGCCGCGTGCGGTGTCAGGGTGGAGCTTGACGCTTGACGCTAGTGGCTGGATTCCTATCCGCTGCCTGCTAGATGCCATGGAAAAAAATGGACCAGCTTCCAGATGCTTCCAGCGATTTCCAGTGATCATCGTCATGGCAAAAACCTGAGAGTTTGAGGGAAATGATAACCACCATGGATTGCTTTTAGCCGGACTCGCCGGACTTGACGGCCGTCAAGTCTGCCTACCGATAGCGAGTCCCAGCTATCGACCCACAGTGCCATTGGGTTGATGTTTGATGAAATTCTCCAGCCTGCCATTGAGGTAGGTGCGAAGCCCTTTGACGAGGTGTTCCAGACCAGTCGCAGCTGGTTCTTGTGGCACTTTTCTTTTCCTTGGTATGGGGCTACGGGGCGGCTGGTTGCTTCCGAGAGTTGGTTGAGGGAAAACTGCACGGGAAAATTCAGGAAAGCCGTGCGTTTGGGTCAAAGCATGTCAAAGTCATGTTTTTTAAATACTGTACTGTAGATTTTCCCAGCCCTAAAGAATTTCATTGATGTTTCCATGCTCTCCAGGCTGCCGTTCAGCGACTTCGCTTCATAATGCTTGCAGCAGTGACAGCAGCAGCCATGAATGTCTCCCAACCAGGCGGGGCACAGCAAGCGCTCCACTTGGGGGGCTCCCCAAGCTGCGCCGCGGGCCGCAGGTTGTGATCCCCCAAGAGCTGCTCAATTAAGCAAGGCTTGGGCCAAGGGAGGGCCGGGTGCAGAGAACTTGATGGATGAGTTGCTTATGTTGCTGGTTTGCTCATGTTTTTCCATTTCTATGCCTCATGGTTCGCATCTTGGTTCATCCCAACTATTCACTGTTCAAACCTGTTTCTTGGGTTTTCTTGGGGTTAAAGAAGCCGAAGCCAGCAGAAAAATCAGAAAACACATCGTTACCATTTGCTGCTGACAGCGGTGCAGAGGTGCTCTCCAAAATGAAGTGAGAATGGCAGGATGCGTAGTGAAAAAGGCTGGTTGGAGGATGTGAGATACATTGAGAATCATTGAGATGCAGCCCGAACATTTCGCTTCGCCCCAAAATAGGGCCCTGCGCCCAAATCCCCAGGTGATCATGATTTTCATATTCAATATGAAAATTGCCAATTGGGGGTGTACCTCATTTTTCGACAGCCATTTGTGAGCTCTGCTGTGGAGATTGAGACAGGGGTGGTCGCAAAAAAAAACACCAATGACCTTGGAGCTAAATTTGACCTCTGGAACAGCAAGTCAGAAACCTTAGGTCAAGGTCATTAAGAATTGAATCTAAATGAATCTAATATATCAATATATATATATATATATCATATATACATAAATAATATAATATAATATAATGTGATAGAATATAATATAATTTGTTTTCATATTATATAACATGTTATGATATTATATAATTAATTGAATATGATATGATATAATATAATTGAATATGATAATATAATTTGTAATATGATATAATCGAAGGAAGTTTAGAAGTCAAACTTCCGACAATATGGACAGATGAAAAGCAGAGCAGGGAAGAGGCAGAGAGAAGAGAAAGATTAGAAGAAAGAAGAGTAGAAGAAAGAAGAGTAAGAAGAAAGAAGATGCAGATGCGTGAAAAGGTAGGAAAGTCGCCAAACACTGTGTTTTTCCAATGATTTGGGGCTCTGGAGGGTCGAAAAGTAGGCTCGCTAAAGCGGTGGGTGCGGAGCCAGCTGGCCAGATGATAGATGAAAAATTGCACGCCGTTGTGGCGCGAAGCACATTTGAAAGTGAAAAAGCAAAAAACACATCACGTTCGGACCACTTTTGGAAGTTGCGATGTCGAAAAAGTGCACGCCGTTGTGGCGCGAAGCACATTTCGAAGTCAAAATGTACAAAACACACCATGTTCGGACCACTTTTGTAAGTTGAGATGTCGAAAAAGTGCACGCCGCTGTGGCGCGAAGCACATTTCGAAGTCAAAATGTACAAAACACCACATGTTCGCGCCACTTTTGGAAGTTGAGATGTCGAAAAAGTGCACGCCGTTGTGGCGCGAAGCACATTTGGAAGTCAAAATGTACAAAACACACCAGCTTCGGACCACTTTTGGAGTTGAGATGTCGAAAAAGTGCACGCCGTTGTGGCGCGAAGCACATTTCGAAGTCAAAATGTACAAAAAACACTAGGGGTTCGGACCACTTTTGGAAGTTACGATGTCGAAAAAGTGCACGCCGTTGTGGCGCGAAGCACGTTTCGAAGTCAAAATGTACAAAACACACCATTCTCGGACCACTTTTGGAGGTTCAGATGTCGCTTCGCTTCGCTTCACTACACTACACTACATCACCACTACACTAGACAACTACATTACACTACACTACACTAACTTCCACTACTTCACTACTTACTCTACACTACCCACACACTACAACACTACAACTTACACAACTACACTCCACTACACTCAATTACACTACACTACAATACATGTACACTACACTACACTCCACTACACTACATTGCACTACACTACCGTCCACTACACTCCACTACACTACAGTACACTACACTACATTCCACTACACTCCACTACACTAAATTACACTACACTACATACACTACACTACACTACATTCCACTACACTCCACTACACTACACTACATTACACTACACTACATGTCACTGAAGACACTGCACCACAGATAGATAGGTAGACAGATAGACATATAGATAGATAGATAGATAGACAGAATAGACAGGTAGACAGGAAGACAGAAGACAGATGAAAGCGAGAGAGAGCGCGAGAGAGAGAGAGAGACAGACAGACAGACAGATAGATAGATAGATAGATAGATAGACAGATAGATAGATAGACAGATAGACAGGTAGACAGCTAGACAGATAGACAGATGAAAGAGAGAGGGAGATAGATCGATAGATACAGTAGATAGATACATAGAAGATAGATAGATAGGTAGGTAGGTAGATCGTCAGAGAAAGAGAGCGAAAGAGAGGAGACCTCAAGCACCTTTCGGTCCATCAGTGGATTCGCTCTGCCATCCCTGATTCACAACAACCAACCTCTCCTATAGGTTTCCTATTTTTGAAACTTCCGCCACCGCTTTGTGCGGTACTACTGGTATAATATGATATAATATAAGATAATATAATATAGTATAATATAATATAACATAATATAATATAACATAATATAATATAATATAATATCATATCACATAATATATATGTATATGTGTGTGTTTGTGTGTGTGTGTGTCTATCTTCAGTATTATCATTATCTTGGCAATGCCCAGATGCATGGCCTATCTTGGCCTTGACTGGTGGGCCATGCTCCAATGCCCGCGGTTGGTAGCTGTTGCATGGTGAATTAAGTGTTTTGCAACATCATAGTCATAATGTTTAATATATATATATATAATATTATATATATATAACACATATATATATATGTTATATATATATATATATATGACATATATATATAACATATATATATATAATATATATATATAACATATATATATATATGTTATATATATAATATAGCTAACATGAGGCAGAAGGCGCGGAAGTGTGTACACATGCAATTCGATGACGGCGAGAACATTGACAACAGGCACATGGCAAGGTTCTTGATTACATTCAGAGCTGTGGCATTCTAGGGCACTTTCCATTTGCCGATTCAATCAACTTAAGTGCTGACAGTGCTGACCAATTCATCAAAACACCATGGAGTCACCGCATCGCGATGGTGAGATGCGCTTGGGCTTCCGAAAGGCGCAGACAGAAAAATCCAGAAAGCATTCGCTCGCAGTGCGGAATTGTTCCCAGGCTTTGGCACGGAGGCTCTTCGAACTTGAGCATTGGGAAGGCTTGGCTGTGAATCACTCAGCGACATCATGATTATGTAACATGATGATACATAATTAATGTGACATGTGAATCAACGGCTGTGTGTGTTGTATCATGTTGCATCCAGTTTTTTCGAGTAAATTTTGTTCCGTCTCTGGATAAATTTCTCCTGAGTTGGTTCTTTTTGGTTAAATCCCGCTTTACCAAATAAGGTCCTTGCAGATACTGTATCCCCGGGCCTCAACATAAGCCCAGTTCTTCCCAGTGTCGACAGGTGGTGGACCTGGTCACAGGCCAGTGCAATTCTTCCAGACACGGAATTCCGATGATTTTCATCATAACTAAGCTTGGAAGGCAAGGATACACGCACAGATACATGTATATAATAATTGTATATATATATTTATTTCTAAATAATTAATTATAAGTATATATATACGTATTACATACATGTATGCACATTCTTCATGTGTAAGTATGATATGATTGTTTCCATCGATGGCTTTCGCATTTTAAAGCGCAACATGGGATTCCACATTTCCACCGATGGGATTACATCCCTGGAGCATGCCTATGGCAGCAGTGCCATCTGTGAGTATTGGTGGTCACCCTTGGAGGTCTGTGTGACGACGAAGTGGCAAGGAAAATGGCACCACAGAACTTGGACCTTTTTGGTGGTCCTAAACTTTCTACATCAGCGTGTTAGTATATGGACCATGACACATCATATAGTGGGACCATGTGGGACCCCCATCATCAGCTCATGTGATGTCTACCGCTGCGAGATACAACGAAGACGAGCGAGCCGCCTTTGAGAATGGCTACCGGGCTGCCATTCAAGATGTGCTAGTCATGGTCGCAACCTGAGCTTCATGGCTTAGTGCACCTTAAAGTTCATTGTTCAATATTGTATATGTGTGTGTGATTCTGTACAAAAAATATGTAAATTCTTTGCTGTACATTTACACATTGTACACATACAATCATACTAGTATCATATTATTCTCTCTCTCTCTCTATATTATATATATACACGTATGTATCAGTTATTGTGTATGAACAATATAGTATGACCTGTGAGAGGCAAACACCAGCTCTGTGTGTAGTACCTCACCCATCGGTGCAGGTCGGTGCAGGTCTCTTTGGCATGGCATTCCTAACCGTGTGCCTGTCACCCAGTCTGTATCACAAGGCTGGAAGCATAGCATGACTTACTGGTGCTAAACGTAGGGAATGGATGGGACTGGGGGAATGGGATGATTATTACTAGTGATGAAATGGATCATTCCCGAAAATTCCCTGCGTTTAGCACCAGTAAGATGAAGACAACTGGGAAAGGCGCTGCACATTTCGCTGTGGCTTCGTCGACCTTCGTCCCTTCGGAACCAGGTTCGTGAGAAGGTCCGGCCTTGGGTGGTGGTGCAGGTTGAGCAGGACACTTGGACATGATATGACATGATGATGACAAAATATGACAAACATCGAAGGCAAGCTGCTTGGACTCAGGCTTGGACGCCCTTGGGTCATTTGGGTTCAACACTTCAGGCCAGGAGATTGCTGAGCACGGATTTTTCGGGATCATCGTGATATATGCAAAAGGGAAGAATCGCACCAGGATGCACCAGGGATATCCCAATATATTATAAGATATTGCTTCATACTTTTTCAGGCTAAACAGCTACACTCGTGCTTGATGCTGTTCTCATCTTGCCGAAACATTCTCCCAACACTTCACTGAGAAGGTCTGGATGGCTGGACAGGCTTCACCTTTTTGCTGCAAATACCTGCGGAGTGACCCGACGATTTGCAACTGGAAACGCTGTCAACTTGTCGACCTGTCGACCTGGAGATCCCTGCAGCTTTTGCTACTCATGCGGCATGGCAAATCATGCGGCAAGCTGGACAGGCAAGTGCTATCCATCCCTAAGATGATACGGTCGATGATACGAGATCATCATTGCCGTAATTGGCAACTGATGTCATGGATTTTGCACGGCATTTTGACATAGTGCCCGTCCCACCGAACAAATGGGCCGCTTAAGAACCATCGCATGCCGCAGTGGCCAGGAGGTCTGTGTCTCAGATGGCATCGCAAGAATTTTGGAGCAACGATCAGTTTAGGAAGCGGGGTCTAAAAACGGGATCTCCATAATTTTTGGCCATTTGAATAGGGAAAATGATGATCATATAGAAAAGCTATTGGAATTGCGGCTACCCAATTTTCGAAGTCGAAAGATGAGGTTTGTGTGGAGATTGGCGAGGACAGGTTCCGTTTTCAGCGATTTTCCTGAAGAGGGTTTGTCAAAATCCGTGGCTTAGGGAAGGTTTGTAGGAAACCATTGTTGCCCATGGTTTTCTATAATTTTCCAATATTTCCCCAAACCAACATATGGGTTTCCTACCAATTTTCCATCATTTTCCCTTAAACCGGGAACAGTCCTGCTGATCCTGCTGTTTGCGCTGGCGGCAGGAAATGAGCGTTCGCGAGCTGCGACAGCAAGTCTTGGCCACGCTTGGGCTTGTTGAGGCAGATTCACCCTGCCATTTGGGGATGGTTTACAGCAGGACTGGGAACCAGTTTTTCAGGGAAAATGATGGAACATCCCATATGTTGGTTGGGGGAAATATTGGAAAATATGGAAAACCATGGTTTATAGATGGGAATTGGATATTTGAACATATTTGAACATCATCGAATATCATCATCATCGGCCATGGTGACCTGGGAGGTATCCAGCGCAGCGATAGCTTGGATGTTTATGGCACCGAATAAAAATGGTGATGACTTGGGGATGGTGCAAATGGCATGGGGGGAACCCACAGTGGAAGTGGAAGTACAATTTGTTCAAGCTCCAAAACTCTCATCATTTGGCCATCTAGATCCATTCAGGAAGTGGTTTTGTAGTGTTTGCGTGTCCTGATGTGTCCTGTTTCCATCGATTTCTGCAAAGGCCAGCTGCAAGGAGCCAATGGCAGGAGAGAAGCACGACCCAGTAAGACCATTTAAGACCCGCCGCCTGAAAAAAGAGTTTGGTCATTTCTGCATTGATGATTCAGTCATCAATTTCTTGTGTTCCTGATGTTGGCTCCGCCCTTTTTCGGTGCCAGAATGATGAGAGCTTCGTGACAAAACGCAGTTGCATGTTCACTTGCTGGTCACCCCGGAAGTTTAGATTTGTGGCTAAGCATTCTTTTCTGCGACTGTAGCAGACGACGGATTCAGGAGTGCAGCACTGTCTTGCGAGCAATCAGTTGGTTGCGGACCTACTGGGGCTGAAAGGAGACGTCCTAGCAGGATGCCCAGCAAACTAAGCAGCAGAAAGTGTAAAATCACCTCACCTAAAACACACATGTATGATAGATGCATATTACAGCTATGCGGCTCAGGCTAAAAAGGGTTGAGTTGCTGCGCTTAACGGTTGTTTTCTTTCCCCACCTTTAGGTTTATCAGTCTATTTGGGATTATAGTAATAACCCAGCTGAAACCTGAAAATACAGGTTATCAGCCGTAGTCTCGTAAAGCCATGGAAAGGACAACTGGTGACACCTCAGGTGGAGGCGCCCTTGTCCCCTCGACTGGAGCAACGGTTGCAACAACTGGTTCACAACAAAGCTTGCCGGCTGGGACAAACCCCACGCCCATGTCAGTGGATGAAGGTTTCTTCACACAGCCCGTGCAAGCATATTTCCAGTTCGTGCAAAACAATCTTACCTATATCAACGAAGGTAACATTGATGCTTTCAGGCAAGAGGCGGAGGAGAGGCACACACATCTCATGGAGCAAAAGGTCCAGCAACTGTATCAAGAGTTTGAGGGAGTTTGCCTTAGCGAAATCGCCCATCAACGTGCAGAAGCTGATCGCAGACATGAACACCTAGTGTCAGAGTATTCAATGTCCCAAACGGCAACTGAGCATGAGGTAGCAAGACTGAGACAGGAACTTAGCGATGCAAATGCAAAGCTGAAGAATGCTGCGAATGCAGTCGCACTGGAAGCTGAACAAAGAGCCAACCAAAAGGTAGCCCATGTTACAGCCCAGTACGAACAAAGGTTTTCTGAACTCAGAAGTAGCCTCGAGGCAGACTGTAAACGAATCGTGGATGAAACAGTGGAGTATGCAAAGAATGGCATGGAAGGTTTCAAGAAGGAGGAACAAGCTGTAATTCAGGAGATTAGAGAGGAATGCAGTAGGCAGGAAAACCAAGCTGCTGAACTCAATTTCCAATTGCAGGGACAAGTCGAGGATTTGATGGAGAAGCTCAACAAGTACAGCGCCCCGGAAATCAGTGTCGACAGAGCCGTCGAAGTTGATGATGCACAAGGCGGTAATAATGTCGATTTGTACATGACCCCAAAATCAGCGGTCGGTACCAAGGCTGGAGCAGAACCCATGCCAAACACTGGTATGAGTAGCTTAGCCATGGACGCTAAGGAAAGGTTGAGCAACCTGTTCTCAACAACCCCTGCCGGATCAGCAGCCCCTCCAAAACTTCCACCATTGCCAGTTCAAAGACAAAATGATGATGATGCAAACCAAGATCATAGTGTGCCCAGTCCTACAGTCATAGCAAGCGACCCTGGCAAGAAAGCAGCTGAAGCAGGCTTAGGTCTTTCAGGTCAACAATTGCTAGATCTCATCACTAGACTGACTTCAAAGGATTCAGATGGTGAAAAGCCCCGAACAAAAGAGGCAGAGACTATCAAACTGAATGACATGCCTGCCCCAGAAGCTTATCGTCACTGGCGTAATCATGTCAGGGATGAAGTGAAATCGTGCTCCGACAAACCCGATGAGGCTTGGCTTTGGCTCAATGAAGTCTTTGACAACAAAACCCCTAGGGAAAAGTTGGAGGAAAAGCTGCAGGATCCTGGGAAGTTTATCACACTTGACACCAAATTGTCGGCAGCGTTAACTCGCTCAGCCAAAGGTGATTTAGCGACAAAGATCCATAACTTCAAAGATGAGAAGTCAAAGAATGGGATCCAAGTCAGAGGTAGGAGAGTCCTTTTGATGTTTGAAGATTACTTCAGGACGTCTGAGGAAGCTGGCAGTCTCTACCGCGTCGAGGACCTACTTGGAGTCGTTCGCACTGGAGAATCTGTGGAGGACCTTAGAAGGTTTTTGAACCGATGGGACGCCACAATTGCCGGCATGGAAACCCCACCAGATGATTTGGTTCTCAGAGACATCTTACTCAGACAAATCCGAAAATGTCAATTGATGAAGTATGACATTGAAGCATTCGACAGAGCTCCTGAAAAGTCAGAACAAAAGTCTTATGCATTCTTGTTGAGAAACATTCGTGATCTTTTGGATAGAGAAAGACTCCGTTCAAACAGAAACAGAATCGTTGAAAAGAACAAGCAGACCGAAAAGCCTCAGCCCGCTGCACCCGCTCAGGGGGGCAAAGATCGCGGCAAAGGAAAGGGCGACCGAGGTCGAACCCGTGGCCGTAGCCAGAGTGGAAAAGGGGACAAGATATGCTACAAATTCAGGGATGGCAAATGTGAAAAGGGTAAAGACTGTCCCTACAAGCATGTCAAAGATTCCTCAAGATCTGGTACCCCCAAAAGAAAGGGTAAGGGCAAAGGTGGTAGCAGAAGTGGTTCCCCCAACAGAAAGTCGAAGGAAGAGATGGCCAAGATCCCATGCACTTACTTCCAACAGGGCAAATGTCGTCGTGGTGACAAATGTTTTTACAAACATGAAGTTGCAGCTGCACCCACAAAGGATCCAAAACGCACCAATAGCCCTGCACCAAAGAAGAAGGCCAGTGCAAAAGCTGCGCCATGCATTACTCAAAGGTATGCATGCATAGCGAAGGGAAAAGGGTTGCCAAAAGCTACAAAGGCCATGAAAGAACAATGCCATAGAGCCGTTGTGTTTTCATCAAAAGTGGAATTCATCAAAGTCCCAGCAACAGGTGAACAGAGGAAGGTAGTGCACAAACCCCGAATCTATGAGAAGACGTTCCCTGATTCAGAGTCAGTGCCAAAACCCGACAAACTCGTGGCTCACCGTGCTCAGGTTTCGGCCCGGCAGTTGCAGGAACTTGTGAAGCTCTTCGGCAGTGAGACGCAGCCCAAGTGCCGATTCCGATGCAATGACCCAGAAGGGGGAGTATCATGCAACCACTGTAGAGCAATGATCGGTCCCAAGAACAAAGTTAGTAACACTCATTTGCCCACTGTTGCTACACCTGCATCAAAAGATGGATGTGTTTGGTTGGTTGACACGGGCAGTGAACAGGATTTGATCAGTGAGGGTATGCTGAAGACCGCAAAGGCGACAAACCGCCGTATCAGCGATACTCCGATCAGCCTTGCTACAGCAAACGGTTCGACACGAGCGGATGAGGTGGCCGACGTAAAAGTCGATGCCCTACATCAGCCGTTTTCACCATACATTCTTGAGGAAACTCCTGCTGTTCTTTCGGTTGGGGTCAGGTGTATGGAACAGGGTTACAGTTTTGTGTGGCCAGCTGATGGTAGGCCTTACTTCATTCGTCCGGACATGGGAGTCATTGAGCTTAACGTAGACGGCCGTGTGCCGGTCATCGATAGCTCTTGTCGTGTTTTGAACAGTGGACAGTTCAAGAAAGATTGTGATCTGTTACGTCTTTTTGCAATGGTTGCCGCAAAAGCAGAAGGTGCCGATGAAGAAGGCGTGGATGAGGGAGTAGCTCATGATAGCGAAACCGAATACGTCAGGTCTAGAAAGGCATCCGACCTTGAGCAAGAGGCATGCAGTAAGTCTCACCAGTTTTGCCATTACCCCAAGAATCCATTTTGCAAGATCTGTCAGAAGGCGCGCATGATGGCGCCACCTGCAAAGAAGAAAGGGGGACAGAAAAGGTTGGAAACCAAAAGTTTTGGGGATCACATCGTCGCTGACCATACTGTAATCAAATCCAATGTGGAAGAAGGCGTCAAAGGCGAAACAGTGGCATTGGTGATGAAGGACACCCACACACAGTTCAGACACGTCTATCCAAGCCAGACAAAATCGAGCGAATCATGTGTAATGCTTTCAACCACTTCTTATCTCACAAGGATGAAGTTGGGGCAGTTTACACTGACAATTCACGAGAACTTATTGCTACGATTTCAGAGTTGGGGTACAGACATCAAACATCAACAGAGTATGTGGACAGTTCAAAGTCGTTTGTGGAGAGGGAGATCAGGCACATGCTTGAAGGCACACGCACAAACCTTGTGCAGTCAGGTCTTCCATTGCAATATTGGCCAATGGCTATGCAGCATTTCTCCATGGCAGTGAATGCCACGCCACAGCTCAACGGTGATGATGCCCCATGGAAACTCAGATTCGAAGAAGATTTTCCAGGTCAGTTGATTCCTTTCGGTGCAAAGATACTGTTTTGGAACAATCCAAAAAGGGTTGACAACACATCTGGAAAGACATCACCAACAGCAAATGATGGAATCTTTTTGGGATACCACATTCAACCTGGTTTTGCATGGAAGGGTGAGTATCTTGTTGCCAAGTTAGAAGCATTGGATTACCATGCAGAAACGGGCAGCATCACAGTGCAGCGAGCACGACGTGTTGAGCTCATCGCGGGAGGTTTTGTCTTCCCACTCCGTGCATTGAAAGAGGCCAAAGAGCCCAAGCCGGACCGCCTAGTCGACAATGTCATTGCTGATCCTCGTCCGATTCCGTTTCAATCCGAATTGCAAACAGAGGAACATGTAGAAGAAAGTGAAGCAGCAATTGACAAGTCAACGGAGGCAGTGCTTGACGCACTTGCCAGTGATGAAAGGCCGGCTGAAGAACCAGTTTTTCCTGATATCAAGTACACTCCAACTGGTACTCCAATCCCGGATGGTTATCATTGGGACGGCACACGCCTTGTGAAAACGTACAAAGGGTCAAAACGCCCTGAGTCGATCCCATCGGATTTTTGGAAAATGCTTAGTCCGAAGGATAGGCAAAAGCTTGTTGAGGAGGAGGCTGAAAAGATGGCTGTAGGCAGCGGTGGTGCTGCATCAAGTTCAGCATCAAAGGGTCCGAAGAAGAAGAAAGGTGCAGTCGCTACTGCAAGGAAGAAGAAGAAAGGTGCAGTCGCTACTGCAAGAAAGCTTCGGGTAAACCCTAGCCCCTCAGGTGAACCTAGTGTGTCAACATGGGAGGTCATTCCACAGGATAGACCGAAATTTTGTGTCCCTGCAATGCCGAAAGCGGTTCCAGCAAAACCTGAACTGCATCGCCCGGAATTGAGAGAGATGATCAAGAACAAGATCGCAGAGTTGGAATTCAAAGTGGCTCTTG